AGTAAGAGCAGCTATCAGCATTGAGTCCTGCCTTCATTACATAGAAAGACAGAATAAAATGGTTTGGCCACTTGTTATGTAAGTCACCGGCCCAGCCAGCCTCGAGAGCCTACAACACCAAGCACTCAGGCTATAAAGGAAGAAGAAGGCCATACAAAAGGTGGATCGAGGGTGTCCAAAGAAAACCAGAGAAAACATAATATCACAACTGAAAAAGCTGTGGAGCTGGCCTACCACAGAAAACTGCATCTCCCCTTGACATTTAAAGGCAACAGAGGATGAAAAACTTCAAAACTACAAACTATGATCAACTTGATAAATTAGTCTTTATGAACATAATATACGAATGTGTAGCTAGCTGACATAGAGACCTAGACAGACTTAACGTTTTAACCCATTCTGAACTCAAAGTCCCTTTCACTCCATGTGCATCTGCTTGTGGAAGGAAGCCTCAGACCAACAAAGTCACTCTGGGACGGGCCTCAGTTGTCACTACATAGGCCTTGGCCTTACAACTTTGGAGAAAATTTGTGCACCATTGGAACCAGAACTCCCTTTTGCCTTTGGTGGAGGAAATAAGAACAGACTACGAGTGTGAAATATCAAGTAAGTGATTCAAGGCCTACAATGAATAAACTATAGTCTTTCCACTTTTTCGTGCCAACGTTTGCACTGCTATCTCAACTGTCTCTTGACTTAATGCACTGAAGCTTTGCACATGGGTTTGAAATGCTACTGACCATCAAGAATAATTTTTGCCCTGCGAAAATTGAAGCATAATTGATTCCGTCTCTTTATTCTAGACATAAGAAACAACCTTGCTTGAACGCACACAATTTAGAATTTAGTTTGTAAACTTACCCAGGTCACAGCGTTCAACAACAAAATGACAATGTCACACTTGTGTTCATATTTTTCTCTGTGCTCGACATTTTTCCGATTCTGTCATATTCCCAAAAATTTGTTTTTAAAAATTTATGGCTAGGGAAGCCATTGGAATTACATGGAAAAAATCTGAAAATTTACTAAGCGACATTAGCAAACATAAAGACAGTTGATAGACAACGTTCTATTATATGGTTAAACATAAAACCAGTGCTTAGAATCAGCTGTTTTCTGGTTAAAATAACTGAAAATAATGGGGGACAATATCAGAAAAACAGCATCTTTGAATGGAAATGCCGTCATTACTATTAAACTAAATTTTAAGAACAGAAATCTTAAGATATTACAAAGACATCAGAGGAATTCGCCGCTCTGAATAAACTGTTTTATATGCAGACTAAACAACATAAAAATCTTAAGGAGCGTCAAAATATAAAAGACCACATGCATGCAAAAGAACAGGCCAATGCAACAGTCAGTTTTTTTTCTCAGGAAAATGAAAGAAACTGAGAGAATGGTTAAAGTAAATGGACTATAATGTCCTGTGTTATTTGAAGAAAGCTTTGTCAGATCCATGAATATTATGGTTTGATACATTCGCGCACATTTGAGGATCGGTACAGGCAAAAGCACACTTGCCTATATCAAATTGGGCTCTGCTTTGCTTTATCAAATTTAATTTGAAAGTTCATGCCAGCCCATCACATTCTCTAAACAAACAAAAAGACTGATCCTCCAATGCACAGTAGATAAAGTTAGTTAGTCTTCTGATTGCTTTCATTAATTACATCAAGTCATGACCTCTAGAAAACAATAGGCTAGCCTGGTTCTCTCAAATCAAATGTATCCATTTCGGAAGTGAAGATATGGCAAAACTTTCTCAACTTTCCGCAAAAGTGCACTCAGTAGGAAGGAATTCCGTAATGAGTGACCACTTTGAAACAAAGTAATGAACAGGGTTAGGGTTAGGAAGGATTTGGGGTATAGGTAGGGTCAGTGGTAGGGGTAGGACTTTTAGAGTAGGCGCAGGGTTAGGGGTTGGGTCAGGGCTGTTTTTTTTAGTTCTAGCAAAAGTTTTACAGCAGTTGCAACATAATAAGATCATATTCAAAGTGCCGAAGATTAGAGGTGTTACAAAAGAGTAACAAACACAAAAAAGGAGGAGAGACAAGGACAATAGTTTTTAATAAAAAGAAGAAGCAAACCACACCAGAGCATCTGCCAAAAACCCATGGTCATGGTTAGAGGGTTAGGTTACATTTTTTATTATTGTGTTTGTTGGGGTGGTAATGGTAGCCCGTTACGGAAGACCTTCCGGTAAATGTTTACTTATGCACCCACACACAGATGCATAGATTTGACGTAAACTGCTTAAAATTTTTGCTGTAGAACACACGTATGGTCACTAATATCCTTGCAAATTAATCGTTTTCAAGTAAATACCAACCCTAATTGCCAAAACATCAATCATAGTGAAAAGCAGGGGGGGCATGCCCCCCTGAAACCCCCCATGTTGTTAAAATCAAGTCAAATATTACTATTTTCAGACACCGATAACTCAATAACTATTGGTTTGCGGCAAAAATGAAGGCCATATATAAATATTATATTCGTGTTCAGCATGCAAAATACAACTAGAAAAAAAGTGTATAAAACGTGTAGGCTACATGAGACGGTTGCATGATTAAAAAACAACCGACCTTCCCACTCAGTATAATGAACATTCATGTACAATGGAGTCCTGTTATAACGAGAGGGAGGCAAGGGGACCGGTGCAAAATGTCCGTTATAGCAGGATTTTCACTATAAGGGATCCCGTAATAAATTCAAGGAAAACGGTACAAGTAGGCGTAATCTACGAGTTTGGTGTGAACTGTTTATTTCTTTTTGATAATTATATTGTTTCAACATGACCTCTAGGTCTTACCAGTTTAAAAATTGAATCAGGTTCCTTTCTCTAGTGCTAGTGATGTTGACTGACAGCTCGTTGGCCATCAGAAAGAAAGGGCTCTGGGCTAACTCGCCCGCTGGGTTTTCTCCCACCCCACCACACCCTGTGGTGCATTCCGTCTGCTTGCGCACGTCACACATTCGCTCCATCCATCATATTGCTGTGACCTCTCCATCCCCACATCGGTGAACTGAGAGGCATGGTAGGCTTAGATATATAATCTAGACTAGGCCTACGCTGGCCTATCACGCGATGCGTTCTCCTTGTCTGCGAATGCCACATCCTCCCTACTCAGTCGCTCCGGCCTTCACTGTTGACACACATGGGCTCTCCCATTCTTTGTTTCGCTAGATTACCAACAAGTTTCTCAACTTCTCGTTATTTCAGGACTCGTTATAAGTGGACTCCACTGTATCAAGCTTGCTTAATTATGCAGTGAAAGTAGTTTCAGTGTTGTCATGTCAGCGATTTTGTAGTTTCGTTCGTTAAAGTCAAGAGTAGGGCGGCTTGACCCCCCCTGACCTAATAAAAATAATGGAGGTGGGGGTTCAGGGGGGCATGTTTTTATCCTATTTTGATGTTTTGCAGTTAGGTTGCATCCCTACTCTTTGTGTAGCCTATTTCAAATAGTATTTGGTCATCAACACTTCTGGATTTCTTCTCTGGATGTAAAAACAAATGGATCATGGACTTTAACCAATGGAAATACAAGATCACCGTCATGTCCACCAGCAGAGGTCTAGCCATTACATCTTAAACTCACACTACTCAAAAAGTTCCAAGTTCCAATCTCTCGGTAAAGTTCCAATAGATAGATAGAGATCTCTCAGTCTTAGACACGCTGATGACAATAGTTCTCAAAGAGGGACAAGATCTGGATGATCTGTCACAAAATCTTGACTTTCGATCTAGATTTTAAAGTATGATATCTGCAATTGCAATAGTGACAAGGAAGTGGCTATTATCACCCGGGGTGAGAATAGAAATACGATCGACCTCTCACCCCGGGTGAGACTTGCCACCGTAGGTGTGAAACAAGACCTGTTTTTCCTAATTTCGGAATACTTTCTATCGATGTGGGTGATCAAATGGATAAAGGCAAAGAAAAGATTACGTTATATTATAGCACAAAAGTAAGCTAATTTGATCGTCTACAAAGATGCTATGGCTATTTCACTTTTCGAATCGAGCCGAACTACGGGGGCCGCCATTTTGTTTTGCCTGGAAGTTCTCGCAAGATCTACTCCTCCCCTCTTCTCTCTCTCTTGTCTCTTTCTGAATACTGTCTATTGGTGTGGACGATCAAATTGACCAAAACAAAGTAAAAAAAATGATAATTAATTTGGTCGTCTACAAAGATGCTACGGCTATTTAACTTTTCGAATCAAGCCGTTTTGTTTTGCCCGGAAGTTCTCGCGCTACTCCTCTATCTCTCTCTCTCTCTCTCCACTGCCCACAGACAAAATTGTACGCTTTTAGTAGGCTAACAGTAGTAATAGAACGTTTGTTACTGGCACAGAATTCTACAATTTTTCTGTTATCACAGTGTAGAATTCTGTGGTTTAGGGGGAACGCCAAATTGGTTAGCCTAGATCTAGGCTATAACTGTGAACGGACACCGGGTGAGAATAGCCAAAAGACTCGCCTGCGCTATTCTCACCCGGGGTGAGAATAGAGGTGGCCTAGTGACAATACATCAGACATGATCAGATGAAACTCAAGACTCAATTAGAATCTAGACTCTAGATATCTAGATCTAGATCTAGTCTACTTCTCAGTCAGACTTCTGAATCTAGATCTAGCCTAAAAATCTCTTCTAAAACAAAAACTAAAAAATTTCACATCAGTCCAAGATTAAAGAAGTAGAGTAGAAGTAGGAGAGACAGGTCTTGGCCTTGTTACTTGTTTGTCATGTCAGACAAAACTGATGTTATAGTTCACGAGCCTATAGATCTAGTTCACAGACAACGGCTACAAGAGATTATTGTAAGAAACGAAAAGCTTCTATAACTGTAAGTGTGTGGAAGGTGACAGTGGACAGTGGGTGTTGTGTCACAGTCATTACATTCTCTTTGGGTCTACCACTTTCTAAAAAATCCCCAACACCTTCCGCGTATCATTCGTCATAATATGGCACACAGTTCTGATATAAAAATATAATTACCTGTACTTGTCCTCATGGTCAAAATCTGCCTCCATACTAGTTTTGCTAACAAAACTGAACACGGACACAATTTTCTTATTTTACTTCCACATTTGGGTTGAGTAACAGTCGTGTTGAGGAAAGAGAGGCGAGAGATACGCAGTGATATGGGTCGACATAGGCTAAAGTTGAGCTTTATCGATTACATTAAAAACATACGCTATATCCGGAAGAGGGAACGGAACAATGATTGTGCAGTGATCGTAATCAAGCCACAAGTTCAAAATGGCTGCGAAACGAAAGACAGAAACAACACAGTTACCGGCTGAAGAAAGCGATATCCTTCAAATAAGACCTTTGTATGTTCTTTCGTTTCCTGAACATATACTGATAGAAATAGTATCAAGTGTATTGTCTCTATAGATTCTATATAGATTTAGATCTAGATCTATATTCTAGAGATTTTTCTGATGCGCTTGCGTGCGTTTAACTCGAAATGAATTACACTTACAGTCAGTCTTGGTCTTGACAGTAGAAATGGAGCCTATCTATCTGTTTGTAACTTTGGTATAGATTCCCGCGTTACGCACGGGTTAAGTATTGGATGCCCTTTCAGTCAGGATTTACGACAAAAGATAATATAAAGGCTAGGCCTTAGCGCTTTACCTTACGCTTTACCTTACGGCAAGGTGCCTTACTCTCTTAGATAAAGGCCTACCCCAACACAAATAGGCCTACAATGACTCAGGGCTGTCCCCCCACCCCCAACTTCTTTTGACAGCCCCCTTTACACTTCACAATAATAATTAAACTATGGAGTATTGACTATTGATTCAGTCTTGTTTCTGACACTAGATCTAGATCTAGATCAGATTAATGTCATAGTCATCTTTAAACTTTTACACATGGCATGGCATGAGGGTATTCTCAATTCTTGTCTGTGTTTTTGAATTTAAAAAGAAAATGGGAGGAAGTCCTTCCAAAAAATAAGTTCAAGTTTAAATTTACATTTCCTCATAAAGAATACTCAGTCGGGTCTTTTGAGGGCACCTTTAGTAGATCTTATACTGGGTGCCCATTGGGATAGGATCAGCGGTTCGGCCCGACTTACTGACTCAAAAACAAACGCTTATGTATGGCACAAGACCCGCCGTAATGGGCACCCTGTATTAGATCTACTTCTTTAACAAAAAATGTTTCTGTTTGTCAGTCCTACTTTTTTAGACTTGCGAAATGACCATTATTGGTTATAGTGTCTATGTGTGCATACTCAACAAACAAGCAATCTTACAAATATTATAATTTTAATGTCTCTACAGAGGAGCGGGACAGGAAGTTGGTCGATCATGTCATCTTCTGGAGTTCAAAGGAAAAAAGATATTGGTGAGATTATTGTTATATCATCTCCATCTAAGAACATAGTACAGTAGTCTCCGCCTAAGATCCCACCACTTACGATCCCGGTTCGCTTAAGATCCCGTTGTTTTAGGAAAACAGAATTTTTACTATACAAAAGTCACCCCTAAGATCCCGCTCTGATGGTCTACATTCGGCTAAGATCCCGCATTTCAGATCATAATTTGCTAAACAAAAACCCGGGAGGGCACAGCCGATCAACCTAGAGTGATAAGTTGAGATCAATAAACTGTCCGTCGCGTCAAAGATCAACCACTATCGTGAATGTGATCACATACACGTTGTAAAACTCGATGAAGTGATACAATGTTTGCCCCCAGACGGGATCACACCGGGGTGTGAACTGACCGATGCGTTTGTTTTCCCCACGCATCGCACTCACATCTGAGCTCGCCACCTAAACTTGCATCACTCGCTGGGTGGGTAGGGCCTACATGTTCGCTCCAGGCAGGATCACATCGAACTGTGAACTTGACCATTGCAGCAGTTGTCTGTACTCCCAAATTTGCGAGACAGACTGAATTTTAATTGGTGGGTTCACAACGTAATGGTGTGTAACGACAAAGGCGATTTGGAGGGTGGGGGGGGGGACTCGGTCAGAGATGGAAAGCTATAAATTTTTGACAGGTAAAGAGGAGGGGCAACTGGATAAGCGTAGATCTTGAGACTCATGATAGGATTATAAGTGAAAATGGCACGCCTCATGCCACTATGCAGCGTGATAGGTCATCAAGTTTAACCACTCTTTGCTCGTCATATGCCATAAACCCACCAAGGGAGCACGTCAGTTCATTGTAGAGAGGAGGGAGACCATTTTACCGATTGTGAGCCTTAACATGGGTCACCATAGATTCTTCCCTGGGTTCATCAGTTATGATCCCAGTTCGCCTAAGATCCCACATTTCCTTGCTCCCGAGCACCGGGATCTTAGGCGGAGACTACTGTACTTGAATCTAGAACTGGGGTCTTAGGAAGACAGGATGCTCCATGCTTCCTTGCCCCTCTTCATGAGGGTCCATTTCAGTGTGGGCAGGCTGATTGTCTCCACCATGAGCTGGTTGTTGTAGCGTCTGATGGGGTCACACAGCCTGCTCTTCCTACCTTCACCAAACTGCACTCCTTTCGCAATCACAACCTCCTTCGTGAAGGAGTCCTCGTCACGGCTGCTGGCTAGGTTTTCTCGGACAAGAGAGCTACTACAGTTGGAGGGTCAAGGGTAAGCACTCCCTCTATGTTTGCGGAGCCTGCTAGCTTATCTGCTCTTTCATTTCCCTTGACTCCTGCATGTCCTGGGCAGAAGATCCACTGCAAGTCTGATTTTGCTGTCTTGGATTGTCTTAAACCAATCTGCATATATATAGAGGCTGCCGGTCAAGATCTTACCCCGAGTACTCATTGAGTCTGTAACAAAGGTAGCCTGCTGGTATCCATCAGTGCAAAGCCATTTCAGAGCCTCAGTGATGGCATTGATCTCAATGCACATGTTTGATGTAGTGAGGCCCGTTGCCCCAGATGCCTCCTGGACTGTTACTCCTTGGCAAGAAGTAGAAGCCGTGTAAGCCCGCCTGATTTGTTCCCACGCTGAACAGAGCCATCAGTGAAGATAATGGTTTCATCCTCTCTGCAGTTCTCTTCAGTTAGAGTCTGGGTTTCAGCATGTGTTGCTCCTTCAGGCCATTCACGACATTCATGCCCCAATGTAGCAATCACTTGAGTAAATCTGTCTTTCACCTTGTCCGCAAGCTGTACCCATGTCTCCCTTCATCTAATTGCCCCAACACTTTTCAATGGTTTGCACTGCCTGGGTCATCCACTTCGTGCCCCATTTAAGCCGTGGGTTAGTCTGACGACCTACTTTGTCATGAAGAGGATTCTGTGGAACTGCGCAGACTTTCAAGCAGACCTGTGCAAGCGTGTGTCTTTCGTTCATGCCGGATTGGCCTAGCACATATCGCATTGCAGCAGCTGATGTATCTTTTGTGCAACCGAGTATGGCTCTCATCTAAGATCATAGGTTGTGTACAAACCCAGTCAGCCAAAGGCCTGACTTTTTTTTGTCTTTTGATATGACGGGAGTTCTTAGATTGAGACCACTCTGACTATGTATGCATGTGTGTGTGTGTCATGTTTGCTCCGCCTAGTGTACATACACGAAATTTTAACTGTTAGGATTTAGTTAGATATTTGTTGAACACAGTATTGTTTAACATGTAATTTCTGTTACCTTGACAGGATTTCAAATCCCTGTTTATTTTTGACCTCTCTTTATTCTGTCATTGCAACTTCCTTTAACACGAAATCTGCTTAATACGAAAAAATCTTCTGATTCTATATATGTATGGTTGTGTCATGAGGATTTAATTTTAGTGTTGTCTACTTAGTGATGAACATGCTTTTTGTTTTCTGATTTGCTGTTTCTTTTTTAAGGAGTGAAAAAATGGTGAAATGGTAGTTTAAGTTTAACACCATTATCAACATTTTATATTGGGTTATTCAAGAGGCGGGATCTTCGAGTTTATCGGCCATCTCTGAAAGGACCGAGCCAAATGGGAAGTTCATGTAAAGTGTCTTTCCAAGGGACAAAGCGTCGGACAATGCTGAGGCTTGAACCCCCGAATCCGCAATCTCACAATTATGGTCCGGTAGCGTAACCACTAGGCTACCGACACCTCTTATTTATGGAGTGATTTTGATGTTGCTTACCTAAACAGGGTAAAGACAGAACCCTACTCTCACATATATACATGCAGTTTTACATCTGTATGTACTGTAATGATGTTATTATTTGTATATGTGTTTATTTAAAAATAAATACAATTTATACATTACGTGGGTGTGTATAATTAACAATCTGATTCTGATGTAATGCTAATTTGTAATATTACCAAACTTACCAAAGTTTAATGAATGAAACTGACATTAATTTGTCAGTGAATGCTTGATAAGATTTCACTAGTATGAGTATTTTTAGGATCAAATATTTGCAGCTCTTGAAATTGATATCATAATGTACTACTGTTGTCAATGCACTTCCATTAACAGGGAAAGCAAGATGTAAACTTTTTTGACATATATGCTATTCTTTTATGCAGCTGGATTGTGGCATTCACCCTGGTTTGACTGGAATGGCTTCTCTCCCTTTCCTGGATATTATTGACCCAGAGGAAATCGATCTCATGCTCGTCAGTCAGTGAGTAGAAGTTGTCATAACTTAGCAAAGTTTGTCTGAGTGACGTGAACTCTAACTGACTGCTTCAGTTTTAAGGTTGTTTTTTGGCTGTCAAGCTTTACTTCCAGTAAAACTATTGGAGCCTGACACTTTTGGGGTATATTAAAGCATCAACCACAAAAAGACTGACAGCTATCATAATTTTGAAAATGCAACAAGAGAAAGAAAGAATGCTCTCACAGAAAAAAAACAACCTGCATCTAATTTGTCCGAATAGTTTTTATTTTATCATTATTTTGAAATGGCAATGTCTGGGGGTTATACAATTTTTTTTTGCACCCTATTTATAATAAAATCATCTATCGCTATGCGGCTATGCAGGGGTGACTTACTTAGTCCGTTACAGCTAAAAAAGTATCACACATAACTTCACCAAATTTTTAACAAAACAACTGTTGGCCCGCCACTTCCTGTAGCTTGTAACCGAAAAACACCGGAGATATTGATTGATAAAGATGGAATTTTTTTCTGGCTCCCTTGTGATTCCGTCTTACACAGGTTCGACTGTACATACAGTAGGGATGAGAGTACTTTATAGACAAGATGAGTAGCTTCTAATTTATTATTTTAATGTTACATATTTTTCCTCTTCATTTAAGCATAGTTACTGACCACCAATAAATTGTCAATGTTGCAAGAAAAATTGGTCACATAGCTCCGGTTGTCTTTTTCTTTACAGGGTGAGTTAAAAAATATGGAATATTTCTCAGAAGTGGTCATATTCTGACATTTTCTGAGGTTGTGTAATGGAAACCATCTTTCAATCAGAAATCAAAAGTTCGATTTCTTTGTTGGGAAGTTATAAAAAAAAAAAGAGTATTTCATCTTTCTGCTGGAATGTTGTATCCCGCTCAGACCGAGTTGGCCATGACAGGCAAGTTCAAAGCAGCTCACCTCCTAAATGATGTGAATTGTGTCGATAGGGATGTAAGACATCTTCAAATTACATACAGTTGAATTTGTCTAAGAGAGCCACATATTTTCATGGAGAAAAGTGGGACTCACTCCTAGACGGTTGGCCGTCTTATACACTGTCACTATAGTGTTAAAAAAAAATGCAATGGGGTAATGGGATGTGGCCGTTTGCACAAGTGATTGTCTTATACAGGTGGCTGTTAGAGCAGGTTCAAGTGTACATGTCTTTCATTGTTCTCCCATCAGCTTTCATCTCGATCACTGTGGAGGTCTTCCATACTGGCTTCAGAAGACAGCTTTCAAAGGCCGATGTTTCATGACGCACGCTACCAAAGCTATCTACAGATGGTTGCTCTCGGATTACGTCAAAGTTAGGTATGGCTTACAATGCTGGTGCCTTTGTTCAGCTCTGTTTTTTTATCATCTTCATTATCATCATTGCCTTCTCATCCTGTATCAGTGTATAGGCCATAGAGAGAGAGAGAGAGAGAGGGGGAGGGGCAGGGGGAGGAGGAGGGGGGGGGAAGGGAAGGAGAGAGATAGAGAGGGAGAGAGAGAGAGAGAGAGAGAGAGAGAGAGAGAGAAAATAATGCAGTAAAACATTTGCTTGAAACTTGTTTTACATCAAATGATACAATAGTTTTTGTTACATTGTTTAATACACTTTTACAGTTTTGTTATGTTTTTGATACATTATTATGATACCTTGTATGAAAGCCTTTTGTCATATTTTATTATCCACTTTTTAGTTATGTTAGAGGATACACTCTTTGTGTTATGGTGTCATGGTATGCTATTTTGTTGCATTTCTTTTTCAGCAACATTGCATCAGATGATCAGCTCTACACTGACAGTGACATTGAAAAAAGCATGGAGAAAATAGAGACAATCAACTTCCATCAGGTGTGGAAAAGCTCTGTTATTCTTTGCAATATTTGTTACAATCAGTTTGCCGTTATGCAATGTGTTACTAATTACTCATTTGGTTAGTCCGAGAGTCAGTACCTTTACACTTGTGCGCATTGAATGCATGCATATTATGGTATAGCTGCCAAGTAAAAAAAACCTATTTGAAAAACATATTTTGGGCTCATAGGGTTAAGAAAGAAATATAATTTGTCCAAAAATGTTTGTTTTGAGTGGGGAAGGAAGGTTAGGAGTGGGCGCAGGTGGTGGTGGTTTGGCTGCTGATGGTCCAAAGAAAGTAATGTTTTTTGTTTTTATGTTAAAGAGGAAGACGCTCTTTCCTGAAACAATATTTTTTCTTACATTAAGGAGGAGATATATTTTGTTGGAAGAGATTTGCTTTTGCTATTCCTTTTTTGCGAGTTTAAAAAAAAATGTAAAAGAAGAATTTCTACAGAGTGTCCAGGTCTTTCTGCTAGGACGCTGTGTCCCTCTAAGTCCAGGTTGATGCCAACCTCTTGAATGATCAATATTGTGTTAATTGGGGAATAAAACACCTACGTTTAAAGAATTTAAAAAGATGAGGAGTTTGTTGTAATGAAAATGAAGATTGACATGTTTTTACTCATTCACTTTACCGGCATCAAGGGTGTAACGGTAAGGCTCTTTGCCATCGTATCCAGAAGATGCGAGTTTGATTCCTGCTTGGGGAATTTGTTTTGTTTAGCATATCATGGTATGCCTGTCTCATGAAATGTGCTTGTCTTAAATGATGTAAATATTGTCAGTGGAGGAGGGGGGGGGGTGTTAAACGTTTACAGTCACTTGTAATAGCTCTTTTTCTTTTTGTTAGGAAACAGACGTGAATGGCGTGAGGTTCTGGTGCTATTCCGCGGGCCACGTGCTGGGGGCTGCCATGTTCATGATTGAAATTGCTGGAGTTAAAGTAAGTATTACTTGTGAATTTTTTTTATCACATCATATATTACGATAGTTGTACTTGTCATTTTACATGTTTAAAATTTTATATATACGTCGATGGTTCAGTTCAAGAAACCCATTTGTTACGTTTTTGCTAAAATCGACTTTTTGTGCTTTTCCATGGCTGCAAATCTTTACTTGTCACATATCTTTTCTATGAGAGGATCGGACTGTAAATAAGTTAATCACAGCCCGATCCTTCCATCAAAATAACTGACGGAAAAAGATATGCTTTGACAGTAAAGCCTTCGTAAAGATATTATTATTATTATTAATTTGACAAGATGGTGAATGGTTGCTTTATTCTTTAGTTTACCCGGCAAGTGATCGTACATTGGAATTTTACACATGTGTTTTAAGGGTGCCTCTAGTTAAGTAGGTTCTACTTCACAACAATTCGTTTGTTTTACCTGTCTGTCCTTCTTGCTTTTTTCCCCAGCACTAAATGACCTTTATTGTTTCTCAAACTTCATTTCTTTTTCTTTTTTAAAATTTGCTATCTATCTATTTCTATCTGTCTGTCTGCTGATCTTTTTTTTATATTGGTCTGTGTTTCTGTTTCTCAGCACTGTATGATTATGGAGAGAGAGAGGGAGGGAGGGAGAGAGATGTGCTTCTCTTTCTTCACACTAAACAAAATTATGTTTTATTCATGTGTCTTCAACCTCTTTCTCCAGATTTTGTACACAGGTGACTATTCCCGCCAGGAAGACAGACATTTGATGTGTGCAGAGACGCCGAGCGTACACCCAGATATCGTCATCATTGTGAGTTTGTTGCTGCATTTCATCAAAGAGCTGTTCGACTGCTCTAAGCCAATAGAGCAAAATATTTCCGGAGAAATTTAAAAAACTTCATATTTTAAAAAACAACTGCACGAATATAATGCATCTCTTCTTGCTTTGTAAAAAAATATTTAGAACTTGAATTTCGACAATATAATTCTGGAGCACATGCAACCTATACCATAGATTAAGAAACTTTGATCTTTGGGCATAATATATCTGAACAGCTGGCTGACGATTTGCTGTAGTCTTCTTGTACAGGACATGGGCGTCTTGTGTTGTAGTTAGGCCCCTTGCTGTTGCACACAGAATACATTTAAAAGCTATTGTTTAACATCTTTGTTTTGTCTCAAATTTTTAAAAGAAAATATTTAAACTGTTACCTCTGTTAAATTTCTTTTCTAGTATCTGTCTCTTTTATGATGTATTTGATTTCTCCTAGGAATCTACATACGGCACTCACATTCATGAGAACAGAGATGAGCGAGAACACCGCTTTACCAGTTTGGTCCACGATATCGTGAACCGCGGCGGGCGCTGTCTCATCCCTGCCTTCGCTCTGGGGAGAGCTCAGGAGCTGTTACTCATTTTAGGTAAGCCAGCGCTCAATGCATCTTGTTTGTGGCGTAATGGTTAGGGTTTCGGCATTACGATCAGAAGACTCAAGCTTGATTTCCTTGAGGGGAAGTTAATTCACCAAGTATCTCCGTTTGTCCGCTGGGATGTTACATCCCCACTCAACCTGGGTTTGTCCTCCTAATTGATGTAAATGGCATTGATAAGGGAGTAAAACATGTATAATCTCAAACATAGAGTTCGCTGCTCTATTTCATTGCCGTTTTAGTCGGTCCACTTGCCTTTGGTGACTGGCATTTGTGGTGTAGTGGTTAGGTGTCTTGCTGTCACTCGTAAGAGACGTGAGTTCGATTCCTATGTGGGGATATTTATTTATAAAATTTATCTTTCTTATCGAGTATCTCTGTCTGTCTGTCTGCAAGGACTTTTTTATCTTTGGCTCTGATAGGCAGGGTCAAAGCAGCCTGCTTCCTAAATGATATAAATTGTATTTGTATCGATAGGGGCGTAAAACATCTATAACTACAATTTTTTTTGCTTGTGATTTACTTTGTCCTGTGTTGGACCAATTAATTTCTATGAAATGTTTTGTTCCGTGCTGATGTTAACGTGATAATGTTGTTTTTTGAAAGACAAACTCTGTTCTATTACCTGCCTTTACAATACTATCATTGGACCATCAGGAGAAATCTTGAACGTACAAAATTGTCTGATTACAAATCTAAGATGTTTTTATTCTTGCTCGTCTACTTTCTAGCAGGAATATGCTCTATTGAAAAGTTGTTTATTTATATTGCTATTGCATGAGGAAAGGTATTCTGTTGGGGTCTCGAGGAACTGAATTGAATGAAAAAGGGGTATAATTTGTCCTCTTGGACGTTTTTCCTCTTCCTTTCTATCAGATGAGTACTGGAGCAACCACCCAGAACTGCACGATATCCCCATCTACTACGCCTCACAGTTGGCAAAGAAATGCATGAGCGTATACCAGACATACATCAACGCCATGAATGAAAAGATCCGCAGACAGATCACTATGAGCAACCCCTTTGTGTTCAAGCACATCATTAACTTAAAGGTACGGTACAAGCATATCATGAACTTAGAGAGAGGTATGTTACGAGTAGGGCTGGATCCTGCTTGTCAAATTTGAGAGTGGCGATTCGCGATTCAGTCGGCTTCAATGAATAGCGAGTACGTGAGCGCTCGTGGAGCTGTGACGGAACACTGACTGAAACGGAACAGTGTCATATCAACGCCACTTGGCGAGCGCGAGTCCCACTCTTGTTGTTCCGCCATCCTCTCCGCCCCACACCCTTTGTTGCGCTGCTCTATCAACTGACCTCAATTAGTGACTCCCATAAATCCCCCCAACCCCATGATTCGCTAAAACAATGGCTCCATAAAATTCCTTCTGTCTATTGGTTGGACCCCGTTCATTTTGTTTTAATAGGGGGGTTGGACTATACCATCTTTTGTAAAATAAGGGGAGCCATACTAAGTGTTCCGTTCCGTTCTTGCGCTCGTGACTTGACTCAGCAGTTGGTTAAACAAGCCACAAGGTGGTGACAGCGACAGGGGAGTGAATCGGGAATCGTTTGGCGATACTGTTCCGCGTTCCGCTAAAGTGAATCGTGAATCACGTTCCGCAGGAAAGAGTGGCGATTCAGTTCCGTTCTCGCGCTCGTGACCCAGCCCTAGTTACGAGCATATCATGAACTTAGAGAGAGGTATGTTACGAGCATATCATGAACTTAGAGAGAGGTATGTTACAAGCATATCATTAACTTAAAGGTATGGTACAAATATGCTACTTAGCGGATATACACATTTTTCACCACGTTGTATTGGTAATTTTCGCTAGATAAACTTGCTGTATTTTAAAATATACGAGGGATTCCAAGCAATCTTTTCAGACGAAAGCAGTTTGCTATGGTAAATTGAGCTAATCTAATTCTTCAGTTTTTTGTTTCACCTGCTTTACCTTTCTCGATGAAATATAGAGCAGTGTGATTATTTTTCTACGGTAAACATGAACAAGTTCAATTTAGGTTTTTGTTTCACCTCCGTGACTTTTGTTGACAGAATATGGAACAATTTGACGACATCGGTCCCTCGGTTGTGCTGGCCAGTCCCGGTATGATGCAGAGCGGCCTGTCCCGGGAGCTGTTTGAGAACTGGTGCACAGACAAGCGGAATGGCTGCATCATTGCTGGATATTGTGTGGAGGGAACGCTGGCGAAGGTATGTGGACCTGCAACTTACTCTGATAAGATTGGAGTGCCCAGATTTTTTTTTGCCTATCGAAGAGCCCCTATGGGATGTGCAAAAAGTTCTGTTTTTTTTTCTCTCGAGTTCTGTGTTCATCGGTAGTATGCAGCATTATAAATGACTTGAAAATACACAGGTTTATTTTCTATATTTACATGACTTATCGTGAATGACGTGAAAATAATGTACATTAATTGTTGGCAGTTTTTTTTTATGCACACATTTTATTTGCCACAGTCAGTTTGTAATGCTATCTTCATCTACTGGGGTTCGGGAGACTCCTTTCTTTTCCCCCAAACTCTGATTTGTAGGGAGAACTCTGAGAAAAACTCCTAGTTTCAGTCATGAAGGGATGATATGTCTGGGTAACGAGGGCTGGACATGTTGGAGGTTGTTGGTGGTGCTATGAGAAAATCATCAGTGTCATTCCACTAGCGCTTTCATTTTTTTTCCTTTTTTTTCCCTAAGTTTTGAAAAAATCATAGATAAAAAGGTGTCCAAATCAGAACCACGACTTGGGCATTTGTGATTTTTTAATCAGAACCTAAGAAGGAAATAAGGAAACAAAATGAATCTATATTTTAAGTGGCCCCTTGATGTCTTTGTTTTAATAATTACTTTTTCTGGAACCCCTCCCCCCGAATTTTATTTTGGCAATTGTGATGTGATGCTGATGAAACTTTATCTATTGAGGTCTTCAGGAACCATTTTAAATGAAGAAGGGATATAATTCTCCTCATATGTACGTTTTTCCTCCTCCCTTCTTTTAGATGAATACGGGAAACACCACCGGAGATTTACATGAAGGAATCTCTATGTGAGATACGCTGCATGGGTTGATATAATTTAGCTGTTCATCGGCTGAAATGGTCTCAATCGTTTATTTATGGTTTTTCTTTTATCTTGGCCCGGGACACTCTATACAGTGGAGTTTTACTGATGAGTATTTATGCAAAATTCACTGAACTTGTTATAGTCGCCTTGAAAAGTAACTTCACATAAGAATCTGTGTTTCTTTTCCCTTTAAGAATTTTTTTGTAACCTCTTTATCAATCGGCAAAGTTGATCTACTTCACCTTTGCCTGTGCAGCGTAGTCAGTTTTGATATGGTAAAATATCTTACACTTAGCTAGTCCTCTGCAGGAAGAAATTGATAGCAATTTCGCTGTAAAATTCTTTTCTGCAGTTGTATAGAAAGAGATTTGGGTTTACTTGCGCTAATTATAATGATTAATTACAATGATTTCTTGTCCTACTAATCTAAGTTATCTTTTTCTCTTTTTTCTAGCATGTCCTATCGGAGCCTAACGAGATTGTCACGATGGGCGGCCAGAAACTGCCGCTGAAGTGCTCGGTGGACTATATTTCCTTCTCTGCTCATGCAGACTACAAACAGACATCAGAGTTTTTGAGGGAACTTAAACCTGCTCATGTGGTGAGTAACTCATATGTCTAGATGGGGGGGGGGGGGGGGAGGCTTTACGCTATGTAATGGTAAGAGATATTTGCTTGAGTTGTTTCCCCCATTTGGTGAAGAGGAAGGTAGAGTTTTGCTGGAGTCTCTTCCAGGTTCCCCCTTTTGTTGTGATGGCAATGTATGATTTCTGCTGAAGTTGTCTTCCCTGTCTAGAATTGTTTCCCCTATGACTTCCTTTTTTAAAAAACAATACTGCCAATTTTGCACTGACCACACCTGGTCTAAAACTCTCAAATTATGCAAATATTTTTTTTCTTTTCAATTCTCTTCTACACTTTTGGTAAAATTTGCTTGCAGTATACCTGTCTCAGCATTAGAAGGCCACCTTAATAAATATTTTTGTTCTTCAAGAAAATGTTCTCTTAGAATGCCAAGTTGGCTACATCCCCTCCTCCCACTTTCTCCCTCCCCTTCTTGTATGTTTGTGGCAAACTGCTTTTGGAAGTCTTGCACTTACGCCATTGCTGGTTGCCACTATGGGGTGCCCCAACAAAGAGCGATTTAAAAAGTAATTTCGCGTCGGAAAGCTGCTAAAATGTACTAAGCCCAGAAAGTGAAATTTTACAAGAGGGAGAAAAAACTGTCTCTTTCTTTTAGCAAATGTATCTATACTGTGTATTTTTTGTCCTTTTTTCAACATTTAGAATTTGAATTTCAACAAAATGTTTCTCAAGCACATACAGCCAATAACATAGATTAAGAAACTGCAATTTATTTTTTTTAAATGTTCAATATTTAGCACTAAGTGCATTTAAGATCCAGTTGATAATATATATTTTGTTCCCTCTACTTTGTCTGTGTTGTCCAGGTGTTGGTACATGGTGAGGTCAACGAGATGGCTCGGCTCAAGTCTGCTCTGATGCGGGAGTACGAGGACGACACCGAATACAAGATGGAGGTCCACAACCCTCGCAACACCGTCCCCATAGAGCTGCATTTCCGTGGAGAGAAGATGGCGAAGGTGGGTCCATGCACTTGTGTTTGTGATGGGAAATTGTTCGGGTCAAAACATAGAGATAGGATTTTATTGATCTGCACAAAGAGAAGTTGGCTGAGGAATGGTAAATACTACTGGAGGAGTGGGAGAGAGAAAGATTTTGTTTAAGTGAAGAGAAGCATGTAAATGATCTTGACTCTTGTCCTGCGTCTGTGCCGAGATGCGAATCTTATCAGCAACCGATTACGTCGGACGCGCCGGGCAGGCCGCCAGGGTCACTCAGTGTGTACTGTTGGTGAACAGCGAGCGCGCCGGGAAACGTGTGTTTTCGCCATGAATACCGTGGGAGTGTGTTAACCGATGATGAAAATAACGCTCTATCTTTCATAGCTTTTTATTTATAAAGTGTTACAAGCCCATGAATAACCCCCTCTCACGAGCTGATAAGACATTACGAGTAGTCAAGCCCGTTCGAATAACCTTTCTAGGCGCTCTTGTTGTTATGAATGACCTGAGGTTCGAAAGGGGATAATATAGGTCAATTTCCGAATGTTTTACACTCAAATTGTTCTTTGTACCTGCACAACGGTATTCAAAACTATTAAACAAGCTTATTTTTTATCAGGTAGTTCATTTCATACAAAATCAAGCTCATTTGAAAGATTTTGTATAGAAAAATGGAAGTCTTGTTTCCTGACTACCCTTTCGAGCTCCTCATGTCTAAGTGGGTCAATTTCTTCTATAATTTCATTAGACGAACATCTAGAGCTACCAACTTGGTATGTTTTGAATGAGACGTATGCCTCGATTACGAACCAACGCAGGCAATTCTAGAAGAAGGCCACAAACGCACACAAACTCAAGCAGACTGACGCACACACACACTTGACCTGCGTGAATGGGGATCCGACTCGGGACCCGAATGACATGTAAGAGGATGCGCGCTGCGCGTGCGCTGAGCCGGGGGCTACACTGATTTGGGACCAGAACGTAGGCGAGGTGCCGAAATAGGCTTATCGGGCGACATAAACCCGGCTCCCGTAGGACGAGAGTTAAGGGTGCATCTCCTAAATGATCTAAATTATGTAACACACCTACAGTTACAACTACATGATCTTATGGTTTTGTCTCAACAACTTCAAATTTTCATCCCACAGAGGGGGTGGTTGGAAAGTGGAAGTGATAGGTCCTACTTCTTTTCTTTCCACTGTTGTCTCTGTCTGTCTAACTTTGCACTAAAGGACTGTTTATTTTTTTATGTGGTTCTAAGTTTAAGTGCAGGTGTTTTACACCTCCATCAACACAATTTAGATCATTTAGGAGGCGGGCTGTATTGCTGCCTGTCAGGGCTAACCCAGGCATGCGGTTTGCTCCTTCTTTCCCTTCAAACATCTATTGTCCTTATCTCTCCTCCTTCTATTTTGGTGTTTGTTACTCTCCTGTAACACCTCTAATCTTCGGCAGTTATATGACGTATATATTATGTGTTTAAAGTGCTGTAAAACTCTTGTGAAAATGAAACTTTCAGGTTGTCGGAGACTTGGCCTCGGAACCGCCCACCCAAGGTCACAAGGTGTCTGGGATTCTGGTGAAGAGAAACTTCAACTATCACATTGTTGCACCCAAAGATCTGCAAAGTGAGTTCTCCAATTCCCTAATGACTTTGGAAATGTTGTTGGGGTTTTTAAAATGTTTTTAAAAAATATATAGGTGTTTTACGCCCCAGTCTGCATATTTGTTTGGGTTTTTAAAATGTTTTTAAAAAAAATGTAGGTGTTCTACACCCCAGTCGGCATAATATAAACCATTTATGCCAACCTGGTCTTAGAGGGATACAATGTCTCAGCAGAAAGACCAAGATACTCAATAGAAATTGTCCCCACACAGGAATTGAACTCTTGTCTTCTGTATTGAAGAACAGCAAAACCCATAACTGCCTATCACAGATGCAGGTGTGTCTTCCCCCCCCCCTCCCCCCCCAAATCAAATTACAATCAATGTAGCAAGATGGTTTTGCATTTCTTAATCCTAAAATATTCTAGATTGTGGTATCAGTGTTATGACTATTTTAGTGCAAAATACTTCATGACACAACATGATTGTACATAGACAACACATGCTTACATGACACAGCACGACTGTACAAAAGACAACACATGTTTACGTGACACAACTGTGCATGGCACAACACTACTGTACATGACACAACACTACTGTACATGACACAACACATACTTACATGACACAACATAACTGTACATGACACAACACTACTGTACATGACACAACACTACTGTACATGACACAACACTACTGTTCATGACACAACACTACTGTTCATGACACAACACTACTGTACATGACACAACACTACTGTTCATGACACAACACTACTGTACATGACACAACATTACTGTTCATGACACAACACATACTAACATAACACAACATGAATGTACATGACACAACACATGCTTACATGACACAACACATGGGTACACAACACAACATATATATGCATACATGATGTGACTTTCACGATGCTCAAAGACATGGGGGAAGGATCCAACTTAACTTATACTCAGTCAGTTTCTTCCAGTGACGGATCTTTAAAGTACAGTGGAACCTCCTTTAACGGCCACATGAATAAGACAATCACCTGTACAAACGGCCACTTCCTTTTTCTTCCCTTGTGTATTCTTTACATTATAGTGGCACGGTAAGATGTCCACCTGTCCGAGTCGACTATTTTTCTCCTCGACAATGAGTGGCTGTCTTGGACAATTTCGATTGTATAACTTGTTTTGTCTTGCCTTGTCTTGCCTTGCCTTGTCTTGTCTTGTCTTGTCTTGTCTTGTCTTGCTTTGTCTTGCCTTGCCTTGCCTTGCCTTGCCTTGTGTTGTCTTGTCTTGTCTTGCCTTGCCTTGCCTTGTCTTGTCTTGCCTTGTCTTGCCTTGCCTTGTCTTGTCTTGCCTTGTCTTGTCTGCCTTGTCTTGCCTTGTCTTGCCTTGCCTTGCCTTGTCTTGTCTTGTCTTGCCTTGTCTGCCTTGTCTTGTCTTGCCTTGCCTTGTCTTGTCTTGTCCTGACTTGTCTTGTCTTGTCTTGCCTTGCCTTGTCTGCCTTGTCTTGTCTTGTCCTGTCTTGTCTTGCCTTGCCTTGCCTTGCCTTGTCTTGCCTTGCCTTGTCTTGTCTTGTCCTGTCTTGCCTTGTCTTGCCTTGTCTTGTCCTGACTTGACTTATCGATGTTCCTCGTTTTCCAGGCTACACAGACCTGGCGATGAGCACGGTGGCCCAGCGCATGAGCGTGTCGTTCTCTGGGGGTCCTGCGCTGCTCACCTACTACCTCAACCAGCTGGCGGGCGACATAGAGTTTGTCTCCAGCTCTCCCCACACCGTTATCCAAGCCTTTGCCTCCGTCAAGGTCACGCTGGACTCTGGTGTGGCATATGTCGAGTGGACAGCCAATCCTGTGACGGACATGTATGCTGATGCCGTCATTGCTGTCCTGTTGAAGGCAGAACGTGACCCCATCCCAGTCAAAAGTGAGAAAATTAATTCTTTATGTGCCATGAGTGAAATATCAGCACGCATGCATAAAATATCTTCATAATTACCTAGCTGTTCCTATTTTTCTTCTTCCCCTTTCTCTGACGTATGACCTGAAGGTAAAGGTACAATCTAGCTGATGCCGGGGAGGGGGAGGGGCTACCGATTCGCTAGCCACAAGATAGCTTGTTCTTAGGATGTTGAGGGAAATGCATGACCCACCATATTTACTGTGAAGTTGGATCTTATGACGGCACCTGTCTATAAGCCGCTCCAACTAAATTAAAAAAAAAAAAAATCTAAACTTTTTTTACACAAATGAGATATGCTGGTTTATAAGCCACAGCAGATTAAACAACACAGATATGTACGTCACATTTATTCTGTGTCATCATTGTCCTGTCGGCTGAAATCTTCTTTTTTGGCGTTAGAGTTGAACAGATTGAGCCTTGCCTTGATTTGAATGTGAGCAGTTAGCACTGTAAGGGTACAAACGCGGTGACACAGACAGACTTGCTGTCGCACAGGGACGGACAGGCACAGGGAAATGTGGTCACATTCAAACAGGCAGCAAGAGACAGCAACATTGTCAATCATGGCGCTGACAAAGAAGAAGAAACTCTTATTATTATTGTGGTTACGAAGGAAATTAAGACGTTCAATTGTGTTCATGAGGATGATGATGATGGTATTGATGTTGGTGATGATATATCTAGAATCTGCATAAAATTGATCATGAATCTATTATTTTTTTAACACTTACCATCCGATCCCAATTCATGGCCAATGGTATCCCACTGCTTCAATATATAATCACGATTAGCGTGATGTTTTTCGCTCTTGTCATAAATTGCTGGCCTTTCTTGCACCGCAATGATCAGTTTCTCTTCAAAATCCTCCATCTTGACAAGAACAATCACTGTGATCGTATCTTTATTTAACTCCCTTGAAACAGACAGACAGGAGAAGTAGTGCACGCACTTTTCGAATTTTCCTGACTGTCGCTGGCTGTTGCTGGCTGTTGCTGTCTGTGCCTGTCCGTGTTCAACATAGCGGGGTTGGTGTGTTTTAATAGAAATCATGAGCGGTTTTGGCGTGCACACTTTTTGATGTGCTGCTGTGACAGCAACTGACTGACCCTGTCTGTGTCACCGTGTCCCTAGCTTAACAATGTGAACAGTTAACACTTTGCGGCCAACTCTTTAACATGGAGTATGAACATAAACACTAGTTAACCCTAGAGCTAAGAATAGATGAGGCCGTGACGGTACTGCAATTGGGAAAATCGACAAATTAAGCCGCTGGGTTTAAAGCTGAGGAAAAAAATGTCGCCGGCTTAAAGACCGAACTTTACAATAGTCATCCAGACATTTCGTAATAGGGGGAGTAAATGGGAAAATTTGATGTATTGCGCTGCTGTTGCTGCTGCTGCTGCTGCTTATGCTATTATTTCATTAGCGTTTTTCTGATCTTTCTCTTGTTCCCACAGACATCCCCCCTCCCATGAAGATCGACCGTGCCCACTTCCAAGAATGTCTGCTGGAAATGCTGGCTGAGATGTTTGGGTCAGAGAGTACCAGCAAGCTGGTGCAGCGAGACCGTGTCACAGTCACAGTGGATGACAAGGTGGCGGTGGTCAATATAGACTCTTTGGTGAGTGGCATGTTGTGTGTATGTGTGTGTGTTTGTTTTTGTGTGTGTGTATGTAAAAGTAAAGTTGTTCCAGCATCTGATCCGGACTTTGGGGATTGCCTTGTTAGTGAGACAACTTCCTGGGCCTTCGGCATATAATTTTGGTAAGGTGGCCAGTTCTTTTCCACGCGGCCTTTACTTCCCCAACTTGTGTGTATGTGCATGTGTGTTTATGTGTGTGTGTGTATGTGCATGTGTGTTTATGTGTGTGTATGTGTGTAAACGTCTGGTCTCACACCATACTGATGAGAAATCAGAATTGGTAGCTTAAACACAAGGGGGCTATCCTGAAAAATGCTGTTTTGAGGAAATCGAAGGTACAGTTTTGCCCCTTTTTCAGTTTCTTTAAAAGACAAGGAGAATTTTCTGTACAACCAAACATATAAACACACCAATGAAACCAAACTTCTCCTATAGGTAGGGCAATGCCCACTTTTGGTTTAGGTCAAGATTTCTGGTAACCCCTGAAATCTGGGTTAGCCCGCTTGTCCTTAAAAGCGACCAATTTCAGAAGTGAAAAAAATAAAAGTACTGAACAACACGGATCCCGGATAGCTTGAAATTGTGGGGACCACCCTCGGTAGTTTGAGGGACATCTTACAAACATAAAGAAGGGGGGGAAAAAAAACCGGGACCGTGGGCACAGTTCAATGAATGTGTGATTTCGAGTCTTCTGTGTTCGTCGACCTACCCGTGTTATACTGGTATATTTTATCCTAGTCAAGTGGTGTCTCTTTACTGTAAAAGAAAAAAATAATCTCTTCTGTCACCATGCACGTGTTACAGTTACAGGACTGTTTTTGCCTCCATCCCCCCCCCATGTTTTTTAAAATTAAAAATTCCCGTTTAGGTTTCTGGGTCTTTTGAATTGACAGTAAGTCCTTGAACATCTTGCTCTGACGGGACAAATCTGTCCTCACAGAAAGTTGCATTTGAGAATAGCAAAAGTTGCAAAAAGTTGCAAGAAAAATCAACAAAAGTTGCAAGAAAAGTTGCAAGACGTGTATAGCTAAAAATGTCATGGAATTATTGGAATACATTGTTGGTATGCTCATTGCAATCAAAGTAACCAACGTGAGTTTTGCTAGATCAAAATCAAAAGTTAAATGTGAATGTCTACCGTACCAAAAAAATGGGAGGTTGCATGGTGTACAAAAACAGTTTGTACCTTGACTCATACATCATGTCTTTAAACTTAAACTCCCCCTGACGTTAGGCAGGTGTGACCAGCGTGGTTTTGGGGCTGTTCAAATATAATAATTTATAATCTTATATCTTTTTGAGGGGATTTTTGCCCCCCCTCCCCCCCCTTTACACTTTTCTTACATTTTCCTCTCCTCCTCCCCCCCCCCCCCCCCAAATCCCGTAATACTAATATTTATTCGCTTATAATAATTATAATATGACATTTATATTGTGCAAATCTGTGTTACAATCATTGTTCTATGCGCTTTACTTTTACATAATAGCTATTCATGAAAAACATCCATACACACAAGTGACATAATAATTAAATATGGTGTAAGCCAAACTTTTCCGGACAAATCTTCTAAGTGAATAACAGAGTTTACTCTTTTTCATGTCGTGTTTTGTTGTAAAAAAATTATGCTGTCATAAATTATTTTCCTTGTTATTTTTTCACCTTACAAAAGTGTAACATGACATTGGTTCAGGACCCCCCGCCCCCCCCCTTACATATTTCTTTTACAGGAGTCTAGACACCCCCCCCCCCCTTTAAGGCCTTTTCCAGGCGTAAGATTATATTTAAACGACCCCTTTAGTACGGTAGGGGTTTTCTGGATTAATTGATCCATGTCTAGATCTACCCTCCTGGCCTAAGATTTAAAGTCTTTCACAATTTTTTTTATACTAGATCTCTACCTGGTGCTACGGAACCAAGCAAGCTAAGTAATCAGACGATCGTGTTTACGATTGAGTTTACTCTAGAATCTATAGATATCTAGATCTAGAGTCTAGATTTAGCTAGATCTAGAAACTAGAAGAAGTAGAAGATGATTCAGTCCAAACAAGACTTGGGGAGGTCGGGACGGGTCGGTTTGCTCGACAGACTGATGGCGCAAAGTGGCTATCGTAGCACAAAATCGATCGCGCCCGACTCGTTGCCTCAAAAACAAACGCGTTGTTTTCAGGCAACGAGTCGGGCGATCATCCCGACCCGCTCTCATCCGCAACGGGCACTGGGCATCCCACGGTAGTCCGTAGTGCAAAGGAAGTGGTAGATCTAATTTCAGGTACGAATTGTCCCCCATCGCGTCGTTATTTTTAGTTGTGGGAAAAAATTTCGGTTATTTTTACCGAAATTAAATTATTTTTCCAATTTTTGCAGAAAACTGAAAAAAAATTCGCGAATTCACGAAAACGGCAAAAGTTGCGCTGAGGCCAAAAGTTGCGTGCGCAAATTTCTCTGAGGACAGACAAATAGACAAAAGAAACAGTAGATAAAACAACTTACTTACAGAACTTGGAACAGATGGATGATGGGGAAAAGACCAGAATTTATAATGTTTTGAGAGTATCGGAGCAAAGAAATGAGTGGTGGTGAACCATAGCTACTGATGTCTGCTTCAAATCTGCAGGCTTGCTGGCTGTTCCAAATTTTCTGGGACTGTCCCTGATTCAGCAGTAGGGAATATGATTGAGGGCTTTATCTAATAGAGTTCACCAAAACTAGTCCAACTTGGTCTAATTAGGTTTGTTAACGCAGGGTATCCCTGACTGGGTTTTGAACAAAGTTGGCAAGCCTGGATCTGGCACTTGATGATGATGATGATATATATTTGAGAGTGATGTATGAATCATGATGATGATGGATTATTTTCATGAATTATCAATTTTGTCCTTCTCAGGAAGTGAAATGTGATGATGAATCGCTACAACAGATGATCCACTCAGCCGTCACCCGCCTCCATCAAGCCATCAGTCCCATCAAGTGCTGAGGTCCTTCTAACTTCCACCAACAGATTTCTTCAGGGGCCAGAGTCAGAGAGTATACCCAGATATGACAGTGTTGGAGGAACTTCTGATTCGTTCAGTGTTTCCATTGTGTGTGTTCAAATGAGATCTTAGGAGCTTTAATTCAAATCTGTACAGAAGGATTTTTTCAAACTGGGGTTGTTTGAGAAGCTTTCAAAATTGCTACCTGCTTCCCCCCACCCCCAGGTGATTTAGTCCTGTTGGAAAATAATATGGGAGCTCTTCCTGCCTGTTGAACTTAAATAAATAGACTTCTTTTTTTTGACCGGAAGTTTGTTGCTGTCCAGCCTCTTTGAAAGCCTTCCTAAATTATTGAAAGGAAGTTTATATTTTTAATTAAATCGAAAAGAAGGTTTTTAGTTGAACCCTCTAGGCTCTGCACAGGTGGTTTAGAAAGTTTTGCTTTTTTTCCCACACAACGACATCTTTTCCATTCCCACTCGTGCTCTCACCCTGTTGTGGGAAAAGTTAACGGTCTATGAAAATACTTTGACTGGCCTTGTTTTCTACTGATACTTGTTTGAATATATGGTAATGGAAAAGTGCATATGTGTAAAAAAAAATATTCTTGCTCGCCGTGTTTTCAACTGTTGATGTATGATTGAGTGATTTATGTGACGGATAAGATGGGTCGTTTGTCTGACGGACACAGTGGCAGGACTTAATTGTTGTAATACTATCATACAAATTCATAAACTGTCATCTCCAGAATCAAACAATAAATGTTGTTAAACAATGCTCTCTATTGTGCTGTTCCGTTTTGTAATTGGCCTTGTTCTCTTTCAGCTCAGCAGAGAACCTCGTTGGAAGCTTAGATGTTGTTATAAGGGGTTATAGTATAAATGGTCCTGGCTTGAATTCGCAATGGAACATTTTTTAAAGCTGTGGTTGTTTGGGGAAATTTCAAGGCTCCCCACCACCTTGGCTTGGTCCAATCAAGATGGATTCTTTCTTCCTCTTGGCCGTGTCCACATTCGCAGATCGCAGACTCTTCAACTTTTAATTTAATGTGCATATGGTGTTTGAGTCTGTTGTGGCCACAACATAGTCAAAAGATTTGTGACCTGATCTACCCTATTTAGCATATATAGTAAGGATCACATCTGTTGAACGCATGTTTTGAGAACATTAATTAGATCTAGACCTAGTGAAAAAATATGTTCAGTGTAAAAAAACAATTTCTTGTAACAAGTTTTGCTACTAAATAATGATGTAGGCCATATGCCTATACTATGCAAAATGTGTGTGGGAAGCTGGAAGTGATGTGAGCAATCCCATTTTTTGCGTTACGAATTTTTTTTTACAGTTCTGTAGATCTAATTTTTACTACTTCTACGTCTGCTTTTTCTGTTGTTGCACCCAAAAACACAACAATTTAAAACCACAATTCCAATCTCTACAGGTTGCACAGTGAATTCTGGAACTCAAAATTACAAACAAGACAGTAAATGTTCCACTTTTCACTCTTTTGTAAAAGCCACTCTTGTTTATAGGGTTACTTCCGAAAATGACAAATCTTGCCCTCACTACGCCATTGTTTTCGGTCCTCAATTCTTCACAGGTCATGTGGTACAGTGCCCATTCTACTATAAGTGTAGAATTCTGTGGATTAGACCTACTTTATTATTTCCCTTGAATTTATTACTGAATCCCCTATAACGAGAATCCTGCTATAACGTACATTTTGCATCGGTCCCCTCCCTCTCGTTATAACAGGATTCCACTGTAGTATAAAAACTACCCAAAACATAATTCTGTAAACTGAATTCGGTCAAAGAAACTCAATATCATAAACAAGCACATCAACTGATTTTGAAATAAATTCTTTATTATTTATCAACAACAACATGTCATAAGAAATAGTACCTAAGAATAGACCACGATAAAAATATATCATGTAAATTATTATAAAGTAAAGTGCAGTACACCCAAACACACACACGATGCCACACTCTACAAACCTGGACCTCAAGGTCCTGGAAATTATTCTTAATGGGACCTATAATATCATGGTCCCACATTTGCCAGCTTAGTGCTATCTTGTTCTAACTCCATTATAATTCGAGTTCTGACGTAAATAAAAAATCACTTGGTGGTTTAGTGGTTAGGATCACGGACTCGAAATTGTGTAAGGTTGTGGGTTTGAATCCTGTCAGGGGGCCGAAGTTGTGTCCTTGGGCAAGTCCCTATATACAGATTTTCCTCACTTCGCCCAGGTGGGAATGGGTACGGTACTCAACCATAAACAGCTAAAGATCTCGTCAGTTTGTTAGGGTTTTGAGCACGGGATATCCCCAATTTGCATTGTATGCTTTTCAAGAAGCTGAGTATGTTTCCGAGTCGTGTTCTTTGATATGCAGGGGTAATAATACTGGTAAAACGTATGGAGCACACTGTAGAGCTAGGATATGTAATATGTTCTATATGCAATTATTATGACTAAATATGACTAATAACATCACTATTATTATTGCCGTTGGATTCGAGTCGCAAAAAACAGGAGTTAAGTAAAAAGGAAACTGCAATTCTGTGGAACGAGCAATAACTGCAATAATTTTGGCTGGGTTCATGAGTTCAAAGGGAAGACTTTTCAACAACTTTGACAGCTGTGACAAAATATCCCAAAAATCTGAAATTGGAGTTAGTCCAAGATAGCATTCAGCTCCTGATTTGTCATTATTAACTCATAAATCTCTCAAACTTCTCTAAATCTGGACACAAACACAAAAACAAAAAGTGACAATTTTATGACAGCAGTTGACAGTATTTGTGAACACATTGTGGTGTTTCAGAAAGCATTTTTGGGCACTTGCAACACAATTTCAATTAGGTCACACGAGTGCTGAAGAGAAGAGGTGTTACAAGAGAGTAACAAACACAAAAAAGAAGGAGAGATATGGACGATGGATTTTTTATAGGAAAGGAGGAGCAACTGCATCAGAGCACCTGCCCACCACCCACACTTTGTGATGCACATGTGACCATAGCCACCCACTGGCATCAGAATTTCAATTATCAACCCCCAGTTTAAAATAAGATATATTTCCAAAAAAGCAAGAATAGATATATAATAAAGAATTTCATTTGTACCAACTGCAGTGAGGTTACTGAACACACAGTGCACAGAGAGAGAGAGAGAGATAGAGATATTTGTTTCAGCATGTGAATGTGAGACATGTTTTTACTAATGTCCTGTCTTGTGTGTATGTGCGAGTGCACCTAACTTTTGTAAAATCCACTACTATTGTAAACGACCAAGACAAATTTCTCCCTGCGAGATGAATTATAAAGATTGTCATCGTCATTGTCAATGCTAGCGATAAACCTTCTATTTACAACAAATCAGAAAAAAATCAGGATATATTTCTGAGAGTGCTCCAACGGCCAGCTGGACAAGGAGCCACCTTCCATCCCCCCTCCCCATGCACTATTTTTACATTATAATATAATGTCACTGTAAAACGTCCACCTGTCTAAGATGGCCACTTTTCTCCTCAACAGGTGGCAGTTTTAGACAATTTCAACTGTATTTCTGAGAGTGTTTGGGATGATGATTTTGTTCAAGGAGGTAGAAACTGGCAGCTAAAAAAAAGCATGAGCTTCTTGTTAAAGGAAATCTGTTTTAGTAAGCGTTTTACGGAACTTGCAACACAATTAGGTCATACAAGTGCCAAAGATTAGACGTGTTACAAGAGAGTAACAAACAAAAAAAAAAGGAGGAGAGTTAAGGACGATAGATATGTTTGATAGGAAAGAAGGAGTAAACCACACCAATGTACTTACCAACCATTCACTGCCCTCAGAGATAATGCTAAAGCTACAACAAAACAAGAGCTGACCAATATAATATCTTTTCAGTTGGCTGAGAAAGAGAATGAGCAAAAGTTATTACAGGCAGCGATGGGGCTGCAAGTAAAGTGTATGTAGTGTAGATCATTGGCCAGCTGTTTAGATGTACTGAGCCCCAATTTTTGAATAAAAAAAAAAATAGCTGTGGTATTGGTTGCATGTGCTTAAGAAACGTTTGGCAGAAATTCAAATTCCAAATGATGAAGAGAGAACGAAATAGTTTTTTCTCTCTTTCCTGAAAAATTTTGCTTTCTGTGTTTAAAACAGTTGAACAGCTTGCTGACGATAATATATACAGCGGAACTCGGATTCAACAAGGTCGCCAGGCCTGACTTGTAATCTCGTTGAATCCGAGTGTTCATTATAGCAAATATGAGGTTATGTGTAGATAATTACAAACACTGAGCAAGCAATGTATAAAGAGAAGCCACAAGTAATGCCTGAAATGCCTGCATATTATGAGCTGTGTAAAAAAAAAGACAGGTTCGTTCAAATGCACACGCCTGTGTCATCTCGATAGTTTACTAAAAGGTTGTGTTGCTGTGTAAAGCTTAGCCTAGCATACGCCAACTTTTGATTCCACAGACAAGCGCACAATTCATTATGTAGATGTACGAGAAGACTAACTTATTATTGTAATAATGATCAGTCGCCGGGGGAAAGAAAGACTGTGACGCGTTTGTAACTTCAACGTTCAACGCCCGGACCGCTAGTGTCATCCCTCTCCCCGACACGCCCACACATCCGACACACGCTAGAGTAGACATGTGCGCGTGCCAACAATGCATGTGTTGTTACGAAAAAAGGCTGCTGACTGGTTGCATGCAATCGTTTAAGTGAATAATGGTTCACGATGCAGGTGCAATGGATGGTTTCCAGGAATAGATAAAGTTAATTGAGGTAGAAAAATGAGGGAAGCCACGCCGGCGGGGACTGTTCACCCTGGAAGCAACCTCATTGAATCCGAGCTCGCTGATTTAAGTGCTCGTTGAATTCAGGTTATTTTTATTGATTTTAAAGAAGAAAAAAAACGGGGAATCTATCTCATCTTGTTGAATCCGAGCTAGCTGAATCAGAGTTCCACTGTATATATATGTAGTAAATAGAGTGAGTGTTTATTTGTTGTCAATGTATGATTCAAATACAGATTTATCATTATGAAACGTTTTGGAATGGAAAATCACTGATAGCAGTCTGTGAAGAATAAACAAGTTGCTAATTGTTGGAGAAAGGTTAGTCTTGTCATTTTTGTATAATCACTTGAAAAACAAAAAATTAGTAGAATGTTCTATCTAACTTATGGTTTTCAAAAGTGGAATATATCATTGGACATCCTAACCACAGTATGAGTACAAGAATACTTGTTCCACAGCTATGACTGAGGTAACAAAAGCAACTTTTCCCACTACCTACTACAACCACAGCGACAGCGACTCATCTCCACTTATACAAGAACAGGTCTTTGCCGGCCAGTGCCAGAAAAGAACCCGTGATGCCAGGGACAGGCTTGATGTCCAGTATTCTCTGACCGTGCGAGACCAAAGACTGAACTTCTTCTTTCTTCTTCAAATCCAAAATGTTGATCTGGAAAACAGAGGGGGAAAAAGCAACCAAGGGTAATCTTAAACCATCTCTGATACCTGTAACAGAATAGTTTAGTTATGTAAGTGTTTTATGATGCTCGCAACTACATAAGGTCATATGAGCGTACAAGACACAAATTGGTTGCCTTCACATTAGCTAACAGCCTGGCTTGGTTTTACTTTATACTCAATAATAATAACAATACTAGTAAAAACATTAAAAAAAAATTAAAACAACAACATAATAATGAGGACAATAAATATAATAATGAAAAAAAATATATTCATAATGAAAGGAATATAATAATAATAATAATAATAATAATTTTAAAAATGACAATGACACTATAAAATGTATAGTATTAATAATGCCAAAAAATCTTGAGAGTACAAAAAGATCATTAAAATTTTGATAAAAATGTTGAAGATAATAATAATGATCATACAACTAATATCGAGTAAACAATGATTATAGCCAAATTACTTTATTCTCCGAGTGATTGGCCACGACCGCCAGCAGCGAAGAATCCTCCTCTGGGTGAGGGATGAGGCTGTTGCGGCTGATGACCGTCTGAGAGTTGCCGATGTCCCACGAGGCGGCTCGCACCGATGTGACGCTGTGGGGCATCCCCTCCACTTCGCTGGGAAGGTGGACCAGCTGGCTGATCTACAAGAGTGGGAAAAAAATTAGTTGAACAAATGTATGTAGTTTTTACGCTCCCTCACTTCCACACATTTTAGCTCATTTAGGAGAGAGGCTTCACACTGCCTGTCAGGACCAACCTAGGCGGTGAAAGATGCAACGTCTCAGCAGAAAGAAAGACCAAGATACTCGATAAAAATTCTCCCCACATGGGAATCCAACTCAGGCCCTCTGCGAAGGTGAAAAGCCTGACTGCTATTATATATCACAGACGCCAGTGAAAGTGAAGGAGGAAATAGAAAAACAAGGAGTAGGGTTACCACTGAAAGGAATATGTGAAGACTGCTGAAAGTGTGTGTGTGTGTTTGTGTGTGTATGCATGCTCACATGTGTGTGTGTGTGTGTGTGTGTGTGTTGTAATGTGCATACGCACAAGTGTGTGTGTGGTTGTATGCGGGTTGAGAAATAAAAATGAGGAACTTTCTACTGAGGGCGAGTGTTTCTGTGTGTGGTTTGTCAGGGTGGGGAAGGAAACGTTGTCAAAAGTCAGAACTCGAGAGAGGGAGGACACACAGTTGACATTGTGTAAGACGGCCACTTTTCTCCCCGATGTGGCCGTCTTACACAGTATCATAATAATATTTTTTTAAATGAAAGAGAGAAACAGGAAGTGGCTGTTTGTGCAGATGATTGTCTTATACAGGCGACTTTAGAGCAGGTTTGACTGCATACAGAGCAAGCACGGACCACTGACCTCGTGTCTACAGCTGGTCAAGCTGGTGCCAGGTCTGAAGGATGTCAGGAACTTCCCATTGGGATAAAGACTGAGACTCATCAGGGGGGCTGTAAGAGAAACATTAGATTAAGATGATGAAAAATAAGAAAAATCTCAATACAAAAAACGAAGAGTTTTACAGGACAGTGAAAAAAACTTTCATTCTAATCTTTGAACAATTGTACCAACATTTTGTATTATCTTCTCAACTCTTTCATTATCACCACTAGCACTTTCGTGTTATTCACCCCATTTGAACTTAAGCGAAGGCTCTGTAAACAACATTTGTATCACGATGTGGTGGAATCAGGCACTCGTCAATTTTTGGACATGTTGAGTTATTGGTATCATTTTAAAGCTTGTTTATTTGTCTCCTTGGGGTGAAAAAAATACTTATCTATCATGAATAGAAGTCGAGATATTTGCGACTGAAGGAGGCGGGGGTCACCTGGTTCAGAGGTTAAATTAGCGAGAAAATAGCGGCCAGAGACTGGCGATTTTCAAAGCTTGAGAGTCCTTAGAAACTGCAAATTTACAATTTTATGCCTTTAATCAATATTTTTTGGTATCATCCACAGAGAGATGTGTTTTTAAATGGACTTTAAAGGTATTGAGTCAAAAAACAAAAATTAGATAAAAATTGCCAAACCCACAGAAAAATGTCAGTTTCTTTCTTTGATTTCATTGTTTTGACGAGCGCCCGATTTCACCACACTGCCTCGCATTTTACTTTTTATTTCTCTCAAAGAGAAACATTTTCAGCTACATTTAGATTTAGGTTGGGTTGGATGGGTCAGTGGGTGGGCAGTGACACTTTTCACTGGAGTTCAGTGCCCCCCCCCCCCCACAAGGAGAGACGAGCACAGGGGCCATTCTGCACCGACCTTGGGGGGAGGGTAGCCTATGGGTCAGTACGTCCTCTCCGTTCTGCTCCCGAAACACCAAGTTCTGTTGATGTCCTATCAATAAGCCATGCAACCTGCAGACCAGACGGAAGAAGCAAATTTAGGAAAAAAAAAAACGATACAAAAATAAAACAAAACCCAAACCAAACCCAAGTGATCAATATTCATGGGTCTCAACTCACAATTCTAAAAAAGGAGGAACTTTCCGGGTGATCACCACTGAAGCTCATTTTCGCGAAACACCCATTATTATTATACTGTTGAACCCTAGAATGCTGAAATAAAAACCATTAATTTATGGAAGCAAGGTTATTTCACACCAATTTGAGGGTTTTTGAGGGTTTGGGAGATAATTTCAAGTAAGAGTCACTTACCAAATATTTACAATCTTGATTACGTACATAAAGTGGTGGCGCCTGGGGTCTTGTGCGACTTATTTATATTTTCCCTTCATCGTATTCGCCTGTAGGCCTATAAATAAACTATATAAAAATGAATCTTGTTTTGAGCCTGAGAAAAGGCCTAAAACCAGAATATCGACTGTCATGATTCATATCACATATATAGGCCTATATAACAAACGTGAAAGACAAAAATTAATGCTCAAACTCAAAGTAGAGAAGAATAGCCCAAGAAGACCTATTCAGTGTGAGAGGCGTAAGAACTGTGGGAGGGCAAGATGTAATGACACAGAAAATCTGCGAACCTTGAACAGAACGCTAAAATATAGAGACACAATTCACTGTCATCCAACCAATGAAACGTGAACACTAAGGTCCCTAAGTTCAATAACACGCTTACAAGTTATGACGGTTCCCAAATTCACACAAGGCGCACTTAACTTTGCAGAGAGCTGTAGTAGTAATCAAAATTATAGCCTAAACAATAAAAATTTGCTTCCAGTTACAGTTTTTTTGTCTTTTGGTGTTGCGTCCAGCCCTCCCCCCCATCTCCGAGTGCATTTTAAAAAAAAATCAATAACCTACCCCCATTCCTGGGTCCTGTACTTTGCAGCGCTCAGAACGTGCGCAGGTTCACTGACCGGTCACAATGGCGAGCCCGACAAGACGCCTGTATAACTTTCTTTTCTTCTTTTTTTCCCCCCCAAAAGTGACAGCAACACAGTAACACAAACATATCTATACACACGTCCATTCCTATGTTCACCACAAAAGATGACCACAGCGACCTGAGCAAGAAGTCCCTCACCCTGTCCATGCTTGAAGAAAGATACCCACGAGAAGCATGGATAAGGATCTATACAGACGGTGATGCTGTGAAAAGAGGAGGAGCCGGAGTGTACGTACAGTTCCCAAATGGACGACGACAAGCAGAGGCAGTCCCAACAGGGCGACATTGTACAAACTACAGGGCAGAAACGGAGGCTCTAGTACATGCAGCAAACATCATCAAGAATGTGGTAGACCCCCAAAGCCAAGTAGTATTCCTAACAGATGCCATGTCAGTACTGCAGGCAATCACTTCCGGCAAACTACCAAGGCTACGAAAAGAAATTGAGGACATCCCATGTCTGAGGATCATGCTGCAGTGGATTCCATCACACTGTGGTGTCTTGGGAAATGAGCAGGCAGACAGGATGGCCAAACTAGGAGCACAAAAAGAGCAACCAGACAACAGCGTTAACTACACAGAAATAAAAACTATTGTAAATACACTATTTAAAGCACCTCAGACACCAGATGGCTACCATGAGCTGTCCCGCCAAGAACAAGTGATTATCTTCAGACTAAGGGCACAACACACAAGACTGAGACAGCATATGTACAAATGTTTTAAACTAGTACAATCACCAAAATGCCAGTGTGGAGAGGCGGACCAAACTGTTGAACACATCCTTCAGCACTGCAAGACACACAGGGCCCTGAGACAGGAAACGTGGCCAACCCCACTGACGCTACAAGAGAAGCTATACGGGCCGCCAGATGAACTGACCAGGACGGCCCAATTTATGACAGATACCGGACTTCAAGTGTGATGCGATCGAGAAGAAGAAGAAGAAGTGACAGCACAGTGACGAAAATTGATTGATTTTTATTGTAGACACCACGTTTGTAAAGCCGAACCTAAATGTTACCATAAATGTTGCATTATCAGACTATTACTGACAAATTTCTGGGCGGTAACGAAAGCTAAATGAAAATCTTGATTTTCCAGTCGAGCCTCGGTGACACATACAATTCCGCTTGCCGCCATAGCCGCCTGTTCGTTTGAAACTTACTCTCAGACCCGGAAAAGACGAATTAATATCACAATCGCGACAAGCAGAAATGAACTTTAAGACGTTATTGGATTTGGTTTTCAAATATTTCAGATCTTTTATGTATTTTCCCCGGGTCTCTGCCATTTTTTTCAAATTCCCGGGGCCCGGCAGTCACCCTGCTCCCAACAACCCTCTTTTTGATTGGCCCGCTGTCGCGGTTGCGGAGTTTAGGAGGAAATGGCAGTAACAGAACTCCGCTAAATATTGGAATATTGCGACCTATGAATATTGCAAAATTACTCTCAGATTCTCTGAATACAGAAAAACTTATAACCTTTACAAATACAAAAAAACAAAAATTAAAATAAAAGAAAAACCCAATTAACTTTTAACCCCTCCCCTGAAAAGAACGCACCCCCTCTCTGTCTCCTGGCCACTCAAATACTGAAGACAGGTCACTGGACTGCCGCCGTTGTCCAAGATGTCTGCGACAGGAGCATCCGTCCTCCGAATGTCAAACTCCTTCACAACCCCTCTCTCCATCCCAGCGTAAAACAGGTTCGTATTTTGCAAGTTCCACGAACAAGACCAGACAGTACTGTTCAAAGTGTACCTGAAATATAACAAAACAGCTTCGACATGTTACACAGACAACGCCATTTCACTGAAATTAACTAAATGAACCCTGACCTCTTGAGCCCAAAATATCCCATCCCCTGGCTTCCTGGGTAAAAAATGCTTCCGTGGCTACACACAAGAAACACAAAAGTTTATTCAAATCAATTCCCTCTTCTTTGAGCAGCCTTGACTATTACAATAGTTACCAGAAACCTACAAGTCCTTTTGACTTCATTTTCCCCCTTTTTATGCGCGTATGAAATACTATTCTATGGTAGACTATCACACACCGATATATCGGGGCAGGGGCAAATAACTTGCAAAGCGATAAATCGGCGTCACAGGTTCATTGGGTTACATAAATTTCAAAAGGTTTATGGTTTAAAAGAAGCGCATCGACACAGTAACAAGTGCACAGAGAAAGCAAGACAGACAGACAGAAACAACACAAGGACTGAAAGGGATAACATAACCATTCTAAAAAAGGAAATAAACAGCTATCAAACATCTATCATCCTGATCTCCCCTCCTTTTTTTCATATGTTACTCTCTAGTAACACCTCTAATCTTCTGCACTTATACGACCTATTTGCCTAGCAAGTGCCGTAAAACTCTTACTAAAACCAAAACCAAACTAAGGAAACAACAAACGCACTTTTGAACGACTGTCTTGCTGGTGAGACTGGTGAGCTGCACACACTTGTCCATGCCTCCGGACAGCAGCATGCCATCCAATGATCCTGGCTGGAAGCACAGGTCACGAATCATGTTGGCGTGGAGTGGCTGGTAGGACAGATGGCGGAAGTCTCGAGACAGGATCTGAGGAGGACAGACAAATTCAGATGATAAATTTGAGGACTATAATAATACAGTTGAATGACGTCACACAAAAATGGCTGCCTCTTAGGAGGTTTGTCAGATTGAATTTTTTGTTTTAGAAGGAGATTCCACCAGCAACATCGAAATATATACAGTCGAACCTGCCTTAACAGAATCTCCCTGCTCCCCCCTTGACATATTCCTCTTTAATTACCTGTATAAAACGGAAACCTGCCCAGCGCAGAAACGGAAAGAAAAATCCGCTCCCATCCAATGGTGTTACCTGTCTAAGACAGAAAATGATTTGACCACTCAGCCCTGATTTATTTGAAACAAAACTCGCAGGTTTGGTTCCGCCGGCTCTAAACTTACACCATGCTGCCGGGCAAGAAAGGGGAGTAAGGGTGCAATTGGGGGTAGATGTTGCCCCATCTATGTGAGCCCAGAGCGATGCAGATGGTCAGGGTAGTGTGGGTGTCAAATCTCACGAGTGCCAGTGAAAGTGCTTGAGTAGCGAGCCACCACAGAAACTGTCCTGGGTAGCCAGAAGCCAGAGGTGAGAGACTGGTTCAACCAATGCCTACTTCCCTGATTGTACGGCTAGCCGATAAAAGAGTTCCTCGAATCCTTGTTACATGGCAGTGAGGGGTGGCATTGGTGGACTGAGCTTGTTACACTGATGTGTGGAGTTAAGGGTGGAAACAAAGGAGATGTTTGAAAGTTTCTGTTTTTACTACGTCTCTATTAAAAGCAAACACTAGTGGTAATTGGTTAAGTAAGACTAACTATGACCAAAAAAAACCGTCTCTAAAGAAGCACTTCACCTTGATTCCAAAGCCCCTAAACAGAGTATTTGGCGATTTCAAAGACACAACGGTCATGCCTAAAGTTGGACAAACGTCAAACACTCGGCAGCTGGGCTCCTGAAATATCAAAATAAAAACAAAGACATTCTTTAGCTCTTTCCAGCCAAAAAACCCCCAATCAAAATGTTTCTGCAAGTGGTCACTGAGATGTGTCTTGGAGCAAGATATCATAAGTCTAGCTCAGAAACAGGCATTGCACGTTGGGGACCAGCAATGGCAGGCTTGTTAAATTGTTTATATGGGTGTGATATTGAGAATTATGACAATATGAGATATTGATGAATTATTTTCTTATTGTATTGTTGTCACAGTACTCAAATTTCCCAAAAGGATCAATAAAAGAGCTATCAAAATGAATTACCTCTCCAATTTCAGTCCTATAGACCTAGATAAATCAAAACTTTTAGAGTCGATTTTTTGCCCACATCTTCGTTCATGAGTTATGAGAAATACTCATTTTGTGTGCATGCCTCATATCTATTGTTGTTATACTTTTACAACTGCCTTACAAAAAGGTTTTGCAGCAAACCCCACATTTCAAAGTCATAACAAAAGACGAACACTTTTCTGGGAAGGTGATTATCTTTCCAAAATAGTCTTTCGCTATATCTTTTCACATTTTCCTGTTCAATCCAGCCATGCCACTTGTTTCTAACACGACACATTTTCAATGATAAGTTTGCCGCCTCGTTTTCATTTTTAGTGAGGAAAGTGTGACGGCGCCAATGTCAGCAGTCATAATTTACTTTCTCTCCAGCAAATGACATGAGAATTTGAACAATAAAAGATGGCCAAGATTAAGAACACAGGGAGCTGAACAAATGGGTAGCCACTGTTGGCAAAGGATGTGAACAGCATAGGCCTAAACAAGTCTCGCTGTTACCTGAGATAAATTGATCTTTTCTTGGAAGGCAAATCGACTGGACCCATACCGTACGGAGCCAGGAGTGGAAGATATAACTGAGGAAGAACCACTGGATACCGCACCAACAACCCTGGAAAAAAAGTTAAAAAAAACTATCAATATAAAACAATCACGGCAGTGGAAAATGTTGCATGCACTAGGGTAAGATGATGCTGTAGACCAGTTGTTCCAGTCGGCTCCTTGATTTGTGGGTACACATGTAGACCAGTTGTTCCAGTCGGCTCCTTGATTTGTGGGTACACATAATGTGAAAGGAGAGTGAAAGAATGCACATTTGATAAGAGTAAACAACTTTTAGCAATGAAAGTTCCCCAATATGCTTAAGCACTAAAAACCACCCACAGTAAAATTACTTGATACAAGATGGATAAAAAATGTAAAAATAAAGCCTTGCAACAATAGAAATGAAACTGGGTTTTTTTTGTTGTTGATTATTTTGGCAGGTGAAGGCAAAACAAAGGAAGATGTCAGTACATCACTTTATCAGAAGGGGGCCACTCACTCTCCTCTCTGCAGCCGAGCTTGAAGCAACACCATCTCAGCCTCCATGCTGGCGATTTTGCCACTGAGCTCCTTCCTTGTCGAAGCTTCTTTTTGCTCCATCTGTCGCCGAGAAAATTTCTCTTCCTCTAGAAGCCGAAGAGCTCTGTCTCTTTGTGAAGTGTCTTCCGCCTAGTTAAAAACATGATGACTCATCATTTGTAAGATCAGCCTGGAATAAACTGTTTACGGACAATTTACAAAGTAACAACCCCTTGCACCTTTTACTCAGTGTATAATGAGGAAAAAAAAGAAGAACAAATAGGATATGCTTACTGGATCTTCCATGGGAAAAAATTAACAGAAGGCTTACATCAACTTCTTTGACTCAAACCTCTATGTACATTTACAGCAGGCGCTTAAGACGCGTCCAAACGAAAAATAGTAGATTTGAAATAAAAGAGGGAAAACTTACGGTGACTTTCTTAACAAAGATAGGTCGTATGTCCGACTTCTTGGCGGGGGCTTTGCAGTGAGGACAGCAACGAGCCTGATCCACCCATTTCTCAATGCAGCTGAAATGTAACAAAACAAAACAAAACAATAGAATCCACCTATTTTTTTTACTTGCATTCGTGGAATTATCTCTGGTGGAAATATAGAATAAATTTGAGTGCACTGATTTCTTTCTACACTTCTTTCCGGTGATTAATACTTTCTTTATTAGTAAAGATGAAATTGTCCCATTTCTGAAACATCCAACCCTTACATATAGCTCAGCAGCGAATTAAAAGTATAATTTTTAAAACATCTATGCTAGCAAATATGTGAAACCCCCCCCACAAAAACTGAAAGTCAGGGATCTCAGCTTAAGTGAAAAAAAAGTGTTATCAACCCGCATATTTGAATATACATCATGTGCAAGATAAAGTGTGAAACAATACCAACTTGGATATTTGAGTACATCAAGCTATCTTATACAACTGCTGCAAAGGGACTCTTTCCAGACATATCTCCTCTCCTCTTTTTCAGGACGTGAGAATGTTAACCCAGGACTAGCAAAAAAAAAGCACTTGCAGTTTTCATTTTCTTTATGATTAAGACAACTGAACCTGCACTAACGACCACCTGTCCAAGACAACCACCTGTACAAAAAATCATTTCCCTATTTCCCCCTTGTGTTTTTTCTATACATCGAAATGACACTATTCAAGAGGAGCACATGTCTAAGGTGACCACTTTTCTCCTCAACAATGGGTGGTCGTCTGGGACAATTTTGCTTGTATATTAGAGGCAATCAGTTTATGAATGTTCTGGCATGCTTAAAATTTCTGGAACTCCCTGGTAACTACCCAACTACTGACCTCAGGCCAAACAAATGTCCACATTTGAGACATGTGATCCTGTGCTCTCCTCCAGTTGACCACGGCTCCAGACAGATTGGGCAACTCTGTGAGAGAACATGTCAATATATGCCAATAATGGTCATTTAAGTTTTCATGCTCTTTAAAATTTGCATTTCACCTCCTTTTTCCATATCTAAGAGAAGGGTTCCTATCAAAGATTAAAATTTGATTTTAAAAAACTACAAAGAAGAAGAACTGAAAATGAGCCAGACCACTTCTACTGCTAAACACATGTTACTGAGATCTATTTAAATACTATACAATAGCTTCATAAACATATTTTCACCCAAAACAATCTTACCAGCAGACTTAACTGATTCCTACATTTCAAGAAAGCAAATTGTTCAAGGGCAAACTTTCTGTCCAAACGACCTTTCTCAAAACAAAGTGGGGAGGATGAAAACACTGAGTAAAAGTAAATCCTACTGAACTGATAACGGTAAACTATCTTTAAAAAAACTATGAGGAGATAGTGCCAATGGCGGTAATATTGTGCAAAATGTAAAGAACAGAGGGTCAGATATTTTTAAAATCATTATTTTGTCCATTACTTCTATTCTATTGATTTCCCATGAAAGAAACGAAAATATATATTAATATATTAACATTCTTGTAATACTCACTTCTTCCTCTTCATCCTCCTCTTCCACCTTCGTTTTTTTATCATTAGAATCCATTTTTTCTTCCTCTTTTGAGTCATTAGCTGCAACTTCATCTTCAGGCTTTTTCCTTTTTCTGCTTCTTGGGGACTGGACCAAATTCTGAAGAAATACAGTTGCAATTGAAGGCAGAGAGACTTCAAGAAAAAGTTGCAGGTACGTATCACTGAACAACACCTTTTGTAAAAGAAAGTGGGACCCATCCCATAACATTATCGGTAAAAATAGGCATCATTACTCACACAACTGGCTATCTCGGTCTCTACATTCACTAAATCATTAAATGTTTTGTGTTAAAATCTTTTTCAAGATAGCTTGTTCATCAGATTTGATACTTACGACATAATATTGAGATTGTGTCGACTCGACTCCTGTCTGGCTTAAAAGTCTACAGCTTATTAGTACAAATTTATGTAAATGATTTCCCCCTTTTAAGCAGTTCACTGAAGAAATTAAAGATTCATATGAATGAGTTTTTATGGAATGACTGAAGGCAAACCAGCCAACTACTCCAGGACCAAAATGAGGAGTCTTCCTCATAATCATCCCCAAAAAGTCGAGAGTTCGGTAAAAAAACAAAAAAATGGAGTCTCCAAAACCCCATTTAAAGAGAAGATTAAATGAAACAAACTGGCAGTGGCTAATAAAAATGTATTGCACACAACTCATATACACACAAATAAAAACGCGCATTTCCACGTCATTTACCAAAATTATAAGTCGCATACAACCTGACGGAACTCAAGTCAAAACTTAAACATTAAAAACCCATATCATAAGCTTTTAACGTTATCTTTCATTATAGTTGTTCTGTTCTATGTCTGGATGAAAATAGTCTCTGTGTGTGTGTGTGTGTGTGTGTGTGTGTGTGTGTGTGTGTGTGTGTGTGTGTGTGTGTGTGTGTGTGTGTGTGCATTAATGTATATTGCATGAGAAGAAAGGAAGTAGTAAGAAAGGTTTTTGAAAAATGGGTATTCCAATGTAAAGCGCATTGAACTACTTTTTTTGGAAATGAGCTATATAAATGTTATATATTATTATTATTATTATTATTATATATTGGAGCAAACAATAGTTTTATTAACGTAATATATATGTAAACTATCCTCCAATTATTAACTATTCAGTCAGCAATACAAACCTCCATGGTACTGGCGGATGAACACGATGGAATTAATGCAGACGACATCTCCAAGTATCGTAACACATTCTGAACATTGACAGTTGGTGACAAGTCCATGGTTCCAGAAAGAAGAAACTGCTTTAAAGACTCCCTCACATGTTGCATTTGGTTTTCCAAGCCATTGAAATTCACCCGACTTCCAGAAGAATCTTCTGAAAGAACTGATCCTGCTGCAGAAATGAAAGAGGAAGCACTAGTCTCTGAATTCTCTGTCAATTCTTCTCGAGAATGAGCAGACGGCATTGTTGAAATACCAGAGGGAACATTTGTTATGCCTTCAGACACAGTTAGTGTTCTCTGGTCGGATACATTTGGATTTAAGACCTCACTGCTAATGTTGCGATTTGATTCAGTTGTTTCAACGACACTGTTTGAAGGTCCAGGCAAGGACAAATCAGTGTTTGAGGCACTAGCCACATCTGAACTAACGTGAGCTGTCCTCTCACTTCCTTCTAACAACTCGGCTGAATGCAGTAACAAAAGCTCGTCAAAAATATCACGCTCTCTACGTAGATGTGGGCATCCAAGAGAAAACACACGTTCAGCACTTAACCTGCCCTTCAGACGAGCAACAAGGCTTAACATATCAGTGAATTCCCTTTCCCTCAAAAGATCTTCGGCAGTCACATGACGAGAGAAATCATAGAGGTGTCCAGAAACACTGTTTTGTCTTTCTTCTGATCTAGACTGATCATCTGCACACCTGAGCAGTCTCTTAGCTTCTAATAGAAAATGTTTTATGCTTTGAGTGTGCGCACCCTGAATACTATGCTGTTCTGATGCCTCATTAGGAGGCTCAGGTTCCAACTCATCCTCTGACGAAGATGGACCTACTAATATCACATCTTCATCATTTTCTTCAGTCGGAGAAGGATCTTGGATGTCAGAAGTGCCATCAGAACTAGCACCCCTTCTGTGTCCGGTTGGAAGAAAATCAAGCCTCATTCGATGCATGATGTGATTTCTGGAGAGGGAAAAAATATACATGTGTTTCAAGCGATCATACAAACAGGTGAAACGTCCTGGTTGAGACAAATTTTAATAATTTAACGGATCGAAAGCAAGTTCATGCGCTGTAAGATCACTGTTATATCCAAGTCTGCACAAATTGAATCCTGTTATAGCCAGGTTCATATTACCTACACTTATAGAGAAAAAACAAACAAACGAGAATTTGATTTATCACTGTTACATCCAAGTTCCTGTAATAACAGAGGCTGTTATAAATGGACTGGACTGTTTGGCTCATGGACCAGACCCAGCCTTTGAGCTCAGTTCATCTGGCAGACCACTATGCATGAAAAGGTAATAGCAGCGTGTTGTGATGCTGTTACATCAGCAGGTGAGAACATTGGCAGCGTCAGTGCCGAGGTTTGACCACAGCTTCTTTGAAGTAAGCCCATGGCTGATTGCAGGGCGGTATTGTCACACATAATCAAAGTGGCAGAGATATCCCCCCCCCCCCCCCATCTGGGAGACTCTTGAAGGGTGTGAACTGGGCTCCTGTAATCAGCATAGTGTATTTTTGGCCCCAACAAGAGAAGAGGTACTGTTTTTGAGTCAAAAGAGAAATTTGTCAGACAATTTGTACCAATGAATGTTGCTGTTACAGTTAGAGGGAAATGTTGCTGTTAAAGGGAGTTATTTATATAAGGAAAATTCTGTTACGCAAGCTAAGGTTGCTGTTAGGCAGACATTGCTCTTATCTGGATTGCTGTTAAGTGGACACTAAACTGTATTTGACTTTTATCATTAGGTATTATATACATGTGGTTTATTGGTTTATTTCGGGAAAGTAATCAAGTACCTATTTGACATTGAAGACGAGAACAAGGGCAGGCTGAGGCGTGAGCCAGACTGTGAAAGACAGAACTCATGAGCGTTAGTCGCAGTCGAGGCGAAAAAGATTTGTCACCAGTCAGTGCAAGTTGGATAGCCACAAGAGGTGGGTGTGTATAGTTAAACCACAAGCTATTTCGGCGATGTTCTCTATCTAGAGTCAGATATTAAGTGCTAGTTATGGCATCGAAAATAACGACGGACATGATCAAGCCTTTCAGTGGCAATAGTGATGTTGTGGCATGGTTGGCTAAGGTTAAACTCGGCGTGGGTTTGAAGAACATTCAGGATCTTGCGAAATTTGTACTGCTGATCTTGGAGGGTAATGCATTGGCGTTGTACTTACAGCTTAGTGAGCTCGAAAGATCACAATATCAGACAATTGAGAAGCGTCTTCTAGAGGCATTCACAGACAGCTCATTTGTTGCGTAAGTTGACACAGAGGAGGTGGGACGGTGAGCATGTTGATATCTTCGCGAACGAACTAAAGAGACTGGGAGGGTTGGCTGGATTTTCAGGCAGCGAACTGGATAGGCTGGTTAGGTTATCCTTTGTAAATGGATTCCCTGACCTGATATCGTGTGAGCTCCAACAGATAAGCCGGGTCTTCGAAGTTGAACTGTCAGAGGTAATAACAAGAGCTAGAATCCTTACAGCAAGCAAGACAGGAATGGTCCGTGTTGCGGCGGTAGGCTGAGCGATGGCAAACAAAGTGGGAAGCCACAGTCAACGTGTGAGGGCATTTAAAGGCTCTTGTTATCGATGTGGTGGACCACATATGGGTAAGTTTTGTAGTCATCGTGCTGACATTGTTTGGTAACACTGAAAGGAAGTTGGGCACACAGCCAGTCGATGCAGTCAGAGGGGAAACGGTGCCTGTCTTGGCGTGAAGGGAGGTAAGGTCAAAGCATAGGTAGATACAGGTTGTATGGTCACAGTGGTCAGTTCACAGGCAGTTGGAAACAGAGTGGGCCAGAACTATGTGGTAGCTTTTGATCATTCACGAGTGAAGTGTCAGGGGAAGAAAGAGCTAATCATTGACGTGCGAGGTGTCTCGGTCTCCGTAAATGCAATTGTCTCAGATTCTATTCTGTCTGATATTGATGTGGTGCAGGGAATGGATGCTATAACTAGCCTGGGAGGAGTTTCAGTCAACTGTGGTACAGTTGAGTTTGGTGTCAAATGGTGTGGGGTAGCGGAAATGGAAACTGAATCTGATCCCCCAGACCAGGCAGGGAGGAATGTAAAGCGAGCAGAGAGCGCTGTTTACGAACACAGTGAGGTTGAAGTTATTGACGACAGTGATTTTAAGGCAGTTTTTGATGGCAATACATGGACAGTAGAGTGGTAATGGAAAAGGGATCCTCCCCAGTTAAAGAATAAGATCAGATGTTATGGTAAACAGATGGATATGGAGACTACGGAAGGGTTTGAGAAAGAGATACAAATTTGGATAGAGGAAGGGATACTTTTACGATGGAATGAGAAAGTAGAAATAGGCATAATTCCGCTTATGGCTGTTGTTCAACCAAGTAAGAACAAGGTAAACCCTGTCCTTGACTACAGAGAGCTCCATAAATATGTAAGTAGTCACACGGGGGGTGAGTGAATTCACGGATGTATGCAGCGAGACATTGCGAGAGTGGAGACAGGCGACAGATGCAGCAATGATTGTCAACCTGAAAGGTGCTTACCTTCAAATTTGGGTGTCACGAGATCTATGAAAATATCAACTTGTGAATTACAAAGGTAAAACATATTGCCTGACAAGACTTGGATTCGGTCTTACATCGGCACACCGCATCATGAAGAAGACCTTGAAAACGGTATTGAGTACGGATGAGAAGATAGACTTTGGCACGCAGTCCTACATTGATGACATTCTGCTGGATGAGAGCAAGGTAACATCTGCTACACTGGTGAAGCACCTGGGCAACTAAGGGTTGAAAACGAAAGAACCAGAGCCATTGGATGGTGGCGCTGCATTGGGTTTGAAGTTGAAATCTGATTCCGCAGGAGATCTCATATTTTCCAGAGCCAAAAGGATTCCCCATGTAGTGTCTAATGTCACCAAACGGGAGTTGTTCTCGATCTGCGGAAGAATAGCATGCAGCTACATAAAGAGAAGGACTAATAGTACCGATTGGGAGAAGATTGCAGAAGATGAAGTGGAGAAAATGTTGAAGGAAATGTTGAGCCGCTTGACTAATGAGGATCCTGTCAAAGGAAAATGGTACGTGGCTAAAGCAACCAAAGAAACCATATGGGGTGATGCCAGCAGTATCGGATATGGTGTGTTACTGGAGATCAATGGCAACGGGGTAGAGGACGCTGCCTGGCTTCGGAAACCTTCAGATTTTGACCATATCATATCAACGAAGCAGAGCTGGAGGCTGTGATGAAAGGTGTAAACATGGCCATCAAGTGGAACATCTTTGAAATCAAAGTTATCACTGACTCAGCAATGGTGGCTGGTTGGATCAAAACTGTTTTATCGGAAGGTAGGAGAGTGCACACCAAAGAGACAGCTGAGTTGATTGTGAAGAGACGCTGAGGGATATTGAAAAGCCTTAATGAGTTTGGTCAGGTTATGTCGATAACCTTGGTTCCGACCAGAAAGAACAAAGCAGACATTCTGACACGAGTGAAAAAGGAGTGGTTAAGCTCTGGTGGGCATGGAATGGAGGAAGGAGAACCAGAGCCATGCGTGTGTGCTACTGGTCATCTTGATTTGAAAGACCTGCATGACATGCACCAGATGGGGGTAGACTGTACTCTGTACTTGGCTCGGAAGGTGCTACCAGAAACGAGCCATGCTGAGATTTAAAAAGTCGTACAAGCTTGTGAGCAATGTCAGTCTATCGATCCTGCACCAGTTGTCCATGAGGCGGGCAACCTAGATGTCGTGACAGACTGGACAAGACTGGCAATAGATATAAACTCACCATCATCAAGTGCCATACCTGTCAATTGTTGATTGTAGCCCAGGGCGATTTGCAATATGGAAGAAACTGAAGAGAGAGACAGCAGGGTTTGTGACGGAAGTAGTTGAAGAATTCATGTTTGAGAGAGGACCAGTGCGCAAGATCTTAATGGATAACGGCACAGTGTTTCATTCAGATTGTTTTTGGCAGAAGCTTCAGACATTTTACCAAGTATTCTGAGAAATAGAGTTCAAGTTTATTTTGCCGAGCGTTCGGAGAAATAGAGCCGCGGCCTAATTTTAAAAAACCAATAATTTGATATTTTGCAGATAGGCTTGAAATTTTCTTGAAATTAATTGATTTGCAACAATTTTAATGGCTTTATACTTTATGTGTGATCTGCAGCAAAAAATACTGCAGTTTGACCCCCAAAGTAAGCAGTGAATCAGTGGGAAGGACTTCCATATAATGAGTGACCACCCCAACAAACACAATAAAAAAAGACAGAGACCTAACCCCAACCCAAACCTAATAAATAGCACTCCTGTACAATTGCGGTCCCGTTTAGGGATACTCGTTTTGACCCCACCAAGATATACTTTTTAATGCTCGTGCCGATAAGCATATGGAGAGATAGCCAATCAAACCTAATTGCAAAACATCAAATTATGGTCAAATTCAGGGGGGCATGCCCTGAAACCCCCCCTTGCCTTGTTAAATACAAGTGAAATTTCACTGCTCATTTTGTTCTCTAGATTTACTGATCAATCATCGATACCGAATATTTACATCAGTATCGATATCAAGGAGTCTACATAACAAGAGGGTCCACTCCTCTCTTTGAGCCAATTAAAAAAGTGTCCTCAAAATTTGGTAGCATCCTCTTCGCAAATGCGCACCCTTTGTGAACAGAGTTACCCTACTTGTGTTAAAAAAATCAAAATGAAACTAACAAGTTTTTGAATAACGAAGTGACTATTCGAATATAGACAAAAATTATATTCGGAGGACTCTGAAATGAGTCTAGCATGACATCCCTTCCGACTTCCGACCCTTGTTCCTAAATATTTCCAGCATTCATGAATTTTTGTTGTTGATTATGATAACAATCGTAATGTGAGCTTTAATATCCAGTTACTAGATCTATCTAAACTGGCCCTCCTTGAATCATTAGTTTGAACAGAACAACTAAGATGAGTTGACCTTGCCCGGGGCAAAGTAAATTAAGTCGACCAATGAGATTGTGCGAAGCGATATCGCACTCCCGGCTTGCTGTGGGAAGAGGTATTGGCTGTCTGTTTTGTGCGATGTGATTTAAAAAAAATAATTACAGAAAATCGGTTTTGTGCGATGTGATTTAAAAAAAATAATTACAGAAAAATTACAACACACAACAAAATGAAATTTTATTTAAACACGAGGAAAGACAAATGGTGGTGGATGTAATGATGATGCTGTAGTGAGTGGTGGTGGAAAGACCATGAGTTGTCGGTTGTACCGTGTACTGCCATTGGGTAGATCTAATGAGAGTGCAGTCTTTTTACTTTTGACACAATTACACAGTCCTTGTCGGTGTCTGCAATTCTACTTCTTATTCTGGATTTACGTAAAATCCCCCGACGACAGTTTAATCATGTAACCTCCTTACACTCACATAACTCACTTAGAAGTGAAGTCCGAATGAATAAAACATTTTTTTCGGACCCTAGTCCGAATAGATAAAACCCATATTCGGACTCGAGTCCGAGTAGAGCTGACCCTTGAATAAATAAGAATTCAAATTTCGGAAGAACGCTTTTTTAAAACGAAGTGTATACAGACCCGGTAACCGGGAACAAAGTCACGAAGTATACAGACCCGGTAGGGGAACTCTTTTGTGATTTCGGAAAGTTTCAGCGCCCAGACCCGGTAGTGTGTGTGTGTGTGTGTGTGAGAGAGAGAGAGAGAGAGAGAGAGAGAGAGAGAGAGAGAAGGAGAGAGAGAGAGAAAGAAGGAGAGAGAGAGAGAGAGAGAGAGAGAGAGAGAGAGAGAGAGAGAGAGAGAGAAAGGGTGACTGCTCGATTGAAATTATGACATTGTGTGATTGTTCTTTTCTTCAAATTGTGATTCCTCCAACTCCAAAACAGGGGAAAAACAATCATTCATCGAAAAGACATCCGCAATTTTCATTTAGTTTTAAATCTAGATCTAGGCTAGCCTCGAAACTAGATCAATGATTTATATCTGTCTGTCTAGATCTAGACCTAGGCCATAGGTCTAGAAGAACCTAGTTCTACCCTGAGCCAAGAGGGTGCTGAAACTTTCCGAAATTACAAAAGGGCCACCTCTATTCTCACCGGGAGTGAGAATAGTGCAGGCGAGTCTTGTGGCTATTCTCACCCGGTGTGCGTTCACCGAATTTTGCGTTCACCCTAAACCACAGAATTCTACACTGTGATAACAGAAAAATTGTAGAATTCTGTGCCGTGAACAAACGTTCCATTACAATTGTAGCCTACTAAAAGCGTACAATTTTGTCTGTGGGCAGTGGAGAGAGAGAGAGAAAGAGAGAGAGGAGTAGCGCGAGAATTTCCGGACAAAACAAAATGGCGACCCGCGTAGTTCGGCTTGATTCGAAAAGTTAAATAGCCGTAGCATCTTTGTAGACAACCAAATTTATTTACTTTTGTGTTTTAATATCATTTTTTAACTTTGTTTTGGTCAATTTGATCGTCCACACCGATAAACAGTATTCAGAAAGAGACGGAGAGAGAGAGAAGAGGGGAGGAGTTGATCTTGCGAGAACTTCCGGGCGGGTGAGAATAACCACTTTCTTACAAAAGAGTTCCCCTACCGGGTCTGTATACTTTGTGACTTTATTCCCGGTTACCGGGTCTGTATACACTCCTTTTTTAAAATGGTTACACTGACGAAAAACTTCTTCCTGGTAGAGGCGACTATTTTCTTTGTTTAATTTGACTTTAGAATGAGAGGCAGAGGTCATTAAAATTTAAAAAAACCCTAAAACTCCGCACTGAACGAACCTGAACAGCTGATGAACAGTAGTCGATCAGCGCACGCAAGGAGGAGCTATTCCTATTCTTCTTCTGGAGAAACGAAAGAGAGCTTCAAAACAGACAGCAGCTTGGCACAGCAGCGCCATCTGAAGCAAAGAGCGGACTTTCGGCAGACAGTGCTAGATCTAGATCTAATTATACAGGGTGCCCACTACTGATGTGATCGGCCGATCGCCTGACTCGATCGCCTAAAAAACGAACGTGTTTGTTTTCAGTTTCAGGCGATTGGCCCGATCCAGCCGTTGTGGGCACCCCGTATCACGGGACCGCAATTGTACAGGAGTGCCTTTCTAATTCCTAATATTAATAATGAACTCTTGCCCCTCTGTACTAACTACTCTGTCTCGTAGGCATAGTAATATGATGGGAGGACTTCTGTAACGAGCGACCACTATGAGACAGAGCAGAACTGAGGGCTAGGGGTAGGGTTAGGGTTAGGGGTAGGGTTAGTGGTAGGGGTAGGGTTAGGGTTTGAGTTTGGGGTAGGGGTAGGGTTAGGCCTCTTCTTTATTGTGTTTGATGGGGTGGTCGCTCGTTACGAAGTCCTCCCTCATCAGAGTGTGGGAGTGAAAGTAAAAATTTACCTTTGTAATGAATATATAGATCTATATGAAGTCAATGTTCTGGTAAAGCGGATAAAAATGAACAAGAAAGGGCATAAAACCAGAGCGTGAAATGAAGTGAAAGAATGTATTGTATACCCACCGGTTACTAAAAAAATGAGTTGAAATTGAATGAGTAGCCTATCAGGTGAGTGTATGAGAAATGAGGAGGGCCTACTTAACTAGGACGATTCATTGTTTTTTCTTACTAGATTTAGATCTAGAATCTAGATCTATTCCGTTCCCTTCGTTATAAAACTATTTATTTCAGTCTTTCATGCTCAAACTTTGTCACGTTGAAAAGTCATTGAATTTGATGCCATCATGAGCCTCAAGACTCAAGACTTCCACTTGAACATTGATGAACAAAAGCAAAATATGCCAGATATTCCGGACTGCGGTACTCTCTTGTGTTTGGTAGACATAAATGTCAAATGTAGAGACTAAAATTAATGTCTTAAATAATTTGAAAAAGAAAATACATTCATAATTTCCTTTCTTACAATTAAACAGATCTATGGATTCTATTGTGAAACTCATAAAATGTTGAACAAATTTCTTAAATCTCTAAGAGGTTTTCAACTGGTGCTTATTTTTACGCTTCTCACGTGTTATAAGGAGGCCTAGTGTTTTGCTACTTTGTATGAAACTAAATACTAATCTGGCAAATTACAATTCACTGAATTAGCGGGAAAAATCAGATAAAAATAAACGATTTACGGAACAAAAGATATATTTCCCTCTACAATAGTTTTCAATTTTCTGTTTTTACCATCATATAATATTCCTTGCCAAAATAAAGATTATGAAATTATTTTATGATACCAGAAAGAATACCACGTAATAACAGAAAACAAAGCAAAATTAGAAAGCCAGCTGTTCAGCAAATATGAAACCGGAAATGACCCTCACAATCATTACTTATGCATGAAGGCGTGGCTTATTTCACCTCGAGAGAGTGCCAGTGTCTGTCGGAGGCGGGGCAAAGCTGACGAGACGTCAAGATGACAAAAATTGAAGATAAAATCGTGCTGAGCCCCAAATCGGCGAAGTCGAGCGTCAACGATGCACAAGATGGAGGACAGGAATCAGGAAGTTACAACAACAGTGCTTTAGAAGAAGAGGAGGTAGGTGTAAATAACAAAGCATCGGCCTCTAGCTGTGCCTTGGCATAGTAACCACAGTACTGTATGTAAATATTTAGATTATATTACATGCCACCTGTTACACTAAGCGTAACTAAGTGATATCGTTTTTCTCTTTCTCTCTTTTTTTTCCGCGTTGCCATGCCATACACACGACGATTCACAAACAGCAGACGATTTCAGTCTACTTTCATTATCCGTTTCGTATTACTTTTCGTAGATCTAATCTATATCTAGATCTATATCTAGAGTCTAGATCTAGAATCTATATCTAGAGTATAGATATAGAGATAGATGTAGATCTGGTAAAAAAATGCATATATCTAGATCTAGATCTAGATCTAGATCTAGATCTAGATCTAGACTCTAGTCTTTAATTGTTGTGTTAAAATATTGAGATAGAGTCGGTTCCTTTAGCCTTTAACTAAATAGTAGAATCTAGAAAATCTAGATCTACACCTAGATCTAGATCTAGATCTAGATCTAGAATCTAGATTAGTCCTCGATTCGGTGCTTTTTCGGTAGTTCCCACCCCCCTTATTTGAGCCTGACCTACATCTAGATCTAGATCTATACGTTTGATTCGCGGTGAGCTAAGATATCAAACCTAACAACTGCAAAACATTAAATTATGGTAAAAATCAGGGGGGCATGCCCCCCAGAAACCCCCCTTCCTATTTTTATTAGATCAGGGCGGCAAGCCCTCCTGAAACCCCTCTACTCTTGTGGCCAAAACCCGTGAATAACAATTGCGGGGTGGGAACTACCGAAAAAGCCCCCTAGAGGCTACCCTAGCCTAGCCTAGACTCTGTCTAGATCTAGATCTAGATCTAGATATAGTCACACCCCTGTCCAAGCAGTCAGTTTACTAAGTAAATAATAGAATTTAGGGAAAGATTGAAGAATACCGGACCACTCGTACATCATTTCGCGAGAATGTGGGGGTAGGTGGGGCGGGTGGTTGGGGAGGAGGAGGGGGGAGGGAGGGGGTTCAGGGGGGTCTCCCCCCTGACAAAATTTTAATGAATAGATCTACCGGTCCGAGATTCTCCATTGAGAGATATTAAAAACAGGAAAATTATGAATTCCTAAAGTTGAGACATAGGCAAACTCAGTCTGCTGGTCCGGTATTCTTCAATCTTACAGAATTTAGAATGTAAATCTAGATGTAGATCTAGACTCTACTAATGAATTATACTAGGCTAGATTTCTATACGCTCTTATTTGCCGTCTATTCCAAGATAGTACATAACAAGATGGTCCCCTCTGCTAAAAAAAGTGTCCGCCGGAAGTCCGCTCTTGGTTTCAGATGGCGCTACAGTCTGTTTTGAAGCTCTCTTTCGTTTCTCCAGAAGAAGAATAGGAATAGCATCTCCTTGCGTGCGCAGATCGACTGCTGTTAATCAGCTGTTCGGGGGTTTTCAGTGCGGAGTTTTAGTTTTTTTTTTTTTTTTAATGACCTCTCGCCTCTCATTCTAAAGTCAAATTAAACGAAGAAAACAGTCGCCCTTTCCTCCGGAAGAGGTTTTTTGTCAACGTCACCATTTTAAAAAAGCGTTCTTCCGAAATTTGAATTTTTATTTAATAAAAAACTCGTTAGTTTCACTTTGATTTTTAAAACAAAAGTAGGGTAACTCTGTTTGCAAAGGGTGCGCATTTGCAAAGAGGGCGCCACCGAATTTTGAGGACACTTTTTTAATTGGCTCAAAGAGAGGAGTAGACCCTCTTGTTATGTAGACTCTTTGGTAGAGACGGGCGGGAAGTGCTTAGATTTTTCCTTCCCGAGCGAGAAGACCGAGAAGCTGACTTACTTCTCGCCGGGACCAGTCCCGGGAACGAGAAATACTTCTCGTCTCGTGTCTCAAGCAATGTTTCTCGTCTCGTGACCAATTTCTCTTCTCGCCCCGCAGTTCGAGCCGCTCGTTCAGCGAGAAGGCCGGCCGTGGCCGAGATTTCTCTTCCCGCCCCACAGAACGAGCAACTTGTTTAGTGGGAAGGCCAACGGATCTAAACTTAGAAACTAGGCTTGCCCTGGTGTGCAGGCGCAGGCGGTGAAGGACGGTAGGGAGACGACCTAGGCTTAGGCCCTGATCAACTCCCCACTCGCCTCGTCTCGCCACCCTCTCCCCTCCCTTTCAGTTTCACACACAGGATGGCACGGTGATGGGTGGCACTCTCTGCGTTGTCATTTCTCGCCTCTCACTCTCTTACTCTCATTACTGTTACTCGTTATGTCAAGCCAACGAGCAATGTCATGTCTCGGTGCTGAGCAGTAGTTTAGTGCTCGGGCAGCGACGAGAAGGGCGTTTCTAGCGAGAAACGAGTACTCGGCTCGTCTCGTGCCCGCCCCTATTCTTTGGTCCATTACATTAATTAATTAAAATATTTTATATTAGATGATATATATTATATTCGGTAAATCTTAACTGTCAATGCACCCGCACTCAAAAGCACTCTTTTTGGTTACCTGGCTAATGTTTTTTGGGATGCTGAAAACAAATATGGCCATGAAAATTGCCGCAAATCAGTGGTTTACAAGAAAAATGTTAGATCTACGTAATATTGCAACAAAAATAATGGGCAAATGCAGGGGAGTAAGCCCCCCCCCCCCCAGTAAATATCAATCCTAATTATTGCCAAAAGATCCAATCATGGTTAAATGCAGTGGGGCATATAATCCCTCTGAAACCTCCCAGACCCAGATTCTTTTTAGGTCAGGGGGGCATGCCCCCCCCCCCCCTGTAACCCCCAATATTGTTAAAGACAAGTCGAATATTACTACGCCATTGGTCCTACTGTAATATAGTAGGCCTACATAGTCTGGTTCTATTTTCAAACATCAATGACTCAATAATTATTGATTTGCTTAAAAAATGAAGGCCATTTTCGTGTTCAACATGCAAAATACTACTTGAAAAAAATATTTAAAACATGTATGTGAGACGGGTGCATGAGTAAAAAAAAATCCTTTTCTCCTTGACAATGGGTGGCCGTCTTACACAGGTTCCACTGTATATAGATCTATGGGTCTGTTTTTTAATGGGGCAATGGGAATCTACTACTAGGCCTAGTCAGGAGATAGAATGAAGAAAATATAGGAAATAATGAATTTATAGGCTAATTCTTTGAATTTAACAGCCTGTCCTGGTTTTCTGTCTTTCTTCGGTAGGCTAAGGCTTTCATATTGTATGGAAGATGAGATTTGTATGGGTCAAGTTTTTGGATAGAAGGAATGCAGAATCTGGGCCGCGAAAACTACAGTTAAAGGATAAATATGAAGCTGGGGGTGGGGGGGGGGGGGGGTCACATGTTACAAGTTATAGCAAGCAATAGTATGATCGTAATATATGGTTTGCTATGAAGGCCTATCCTGCTACTGTTTTTACTTAAATTTTGAAAAACAGCTTGTTTTCTTCTATTGACATATCTTGCTAGACATTTAGACTGGAAGTGGCCTACTTTGATAAATGATAGGGCCACTTATGTCAACTTGTATTTAGTGTAGCTTTATAAATCAGTGGTAATGCTAGAAAAAAAATGTTTGATGATCCCAATACCACTCTTCTTGAATAAATATAACAAACCCAAAGCCCAAGCACCTAGATTCCCGTGACCATACACTACCAAAAAAATACCATCAATGTGGGAGTGCTTGCAGCATGTTTTAGGTGTTTGCTAGATTCATGAAATGGCAGTGTTGACTAAGGGTTTTTAGGCTAAAAGTAAAAGGAAGGGATATAATGCAGTAAGAACAATGAGTTGCATTGACGCGTCATGCTTAAATGAGTGTGGCTTGCCTCGATGCGCTTTCCCTGGGATAGCTGTCCACAGGTCTCCAGTTGTCTTCCACTTGCACTATGCGGTTGAGGTTTATGCATTTTATATATATATAGAGATGAGGATACATGTGTGAAGAGTAGCTCTGTGTGTGTTAATTAGTGGTGTTTGTATGTCATGTCAGTTGTGGTATTTTCGTCTGGTATGTCATGGGTGAAGATGCAATACGTGGTGGAAGGAAAAGAGATGGGGGATGAGTCTTCATTTTAGTTGTGCTGTTCAGATAGTGCACATTGCTCGTTGATAGTCAGGGGTGGCCAGGTTTTCCTTCATGGAAGGGCAAAAGCTACCATTTTGGCACAATTTGATTAGATTTTTCAAAATAAAAAAAAATTTTCATGTTTGCTTTTCCTGGCCATTAATCTGATATGCCAGATTAAAACAGTCAATCACAAGAGTATAACGCTTTGTAGAGTCAGATTTTTTTTTTGCGTGTGGAATTTCGGGTCAAATTGTTCCATGCTGGGCAATGAAATGGATTGTCCTGGTTGGAGTTCACATCAGGGCATTCATGAAGGTTGATTGTTAGGGGGAGTGTTCAAGGCTCTCCAACCATTTGGTATGGTCCTATTGGAGATGAATGTCAACGTTGAAAGTCTCGTCTCTTTGAGATAACTTTACAGTGATAGAAGGGGGACTGAACCCATACCATTGAGATAACTTTACAGTGATAGAAGGGGGACTGAACCCATACCATTTATGATAAGCAACAATTCCATATATCATATTTATAATATGTAAATTGTCACAGACCCTGTATATTACATTTTTTATCTCTCAGGACTGCTATGCTGTAGGGAGGACAGCGACCCCATTGCCCAAGATCACCAAAGTTGAAGGACTTTGCATTGTGGAGTCAGATCTGCCGGTCACTCAGACGAGTGACAGAAACAACAATGCAGATCAGAGTGTTGGGGGGACTGAGATGAAGAAACTCAGTCGCAAGAAAGTAACGGACGAGCAGAGCTTAGAGGAAAACAAGCCACTGAAAATCTCTGTGCAACGAGTGAGGAAAGGCAGAGGAGAAAGCATGGAGGATGACACACGTATGGAGGATATCAACCTCCGAGACGATGATGGAGATGTTGAGACGGCAGCTGCAGCTTCAAACGAAGATGGGGATGCCTTCGACAAATTAGAGAGCGGTGGCAGGAAGAATGTTACCCCTGCCTTTGAGAGTGCCGTGGAAGCTTTTGTGAGTCGCAATGGGAAAAATGGGAAGCCAGACCGTAACAAACCTCAGGATGAAGGGGGAGGAGATAGAGCAGAAAGCGGAGGGGAGACAAGACCGAAACCTGTGCCTTTTTACATCTCCAATGGGGCAGGAAGAACAGACAGTTCTGAGATTGCCACAAAAGATGACGTAGATGCTGGCAGTGTCTATTCTTTGTTCATGGAGAAGGATTTTCGTTATCATTTTCAGCACCCATATTTTCGGATTTTCACTGCGTACTTTGTGACATTTTGCAACTTTCTTATCTATGCTGAGGATCCAGTAGCCCACAGTAGGCAGGAGTGCAACATCCCTGTTATTGGAAACGACTTTTCTTTTGTGTGTATGAAGTGGTTACCCAATGCATGGAGTCTGCTCAAAGTTCTGCTGTGGATCACCGGCACGCTAGTTGGACTAATCATTGGAAAGATTGTGTTTCACACTCTGCTATTCAGTGAGTACAAAGTATTTCATCTTTTAACACATTCCCACTCCCCCCCCCCCCTCTCTCTCTCTCTCTCTCTCTCTCTCTCTCTCTCTCTCTCTCTCTCTCTCTCTCTCTCTCTCTCTCTCTCTCTCTCTCTCTTTCTCTGTCTGTCTCTATCTCTCTCTGTCCCCTCTCCCTCTGGCTGGCTGTCTATCTGTCTGTGTTTCTTCTCTCTTTCTCTCCATCTCTCTCTCTTCCTCTCCCTCTTTCTCTCTCTGTTCCTCTTCTATGTCCTTTTCTTAGAATCACCCTGGTTGTGGTGGACAATGTGGTGTAGTCTGCTCCTCCTACTTCTTTTCAGAAGTGTTACTGTTGTCTTGATCTGCTCATGATGAAATGTTGCCATTGCTTTGTTAACATGCTGTTATCTTCTAGTCATACTAATAAATTTTTGAGAACCACTTGGGAAATATAAAAATCCGTAATTTTTTTAAAATTATTTTTTTAAAGCCCCATACACTGCTTGAGAAAAATGCGCACTCATGTGTCGCGCAGATAACCCTTCTTGAATAGACACACTAAAGATTCCGGCTCCACAAAAAGTTTCTGGAGGAGGGGTTGCCTAGTTTATTATTGAGTTTATATTACAAAATTTGTCTTGTTAGTTTGGAGATTCCAATAACTATTCATGATTTTCCAAGTCAACTAGACCTCCTCTAGAGTCTCAGCTACTCATTCATATTAATTATCTAGAATAGTCTGCACTGTGTAAGTTGTAACAGATGGTCCTTTTGCAAGGGTCAGATCGGATCAGGAGACTTAGGAGGTGGTTACAGTCAGTTTGGAGGTGATTAGAGTTTGAGCAAGGAATTAATCGACTCTCTGCCGCTTGAATTGCGTGGTGTCATATTCACATATTGCGGCCACTCAGTGATTTTCACTCCTACAAATTCATCTCTGATGGTGTTGAGGTTTTGAATTTTGGAGCAGGTTTTTGTATAAATGGATGAACATTGTGAAAGTTTCGATTGGGGGGGTGATTAATGATTATATTCATGGTCATAATCATTATTTCTAATTACTTCCCACCCGACGCCAGTCTTCGTTCCAGGAATCCAAATCCTTAGATTTTTGGTTTGATGTTTAAAAAAAATTCTTGTTGATTTTTTAGGCTGTGCTTTCTGCTCACGGGAGGAGGGTGGTGGTGAGGGATTAACGTGTGTGTTTATGTGTGTGTGAGGGTGGGGGGTACATATATGTGTATTAGTAAACATGTCTGTAGGAGGCTCTCATGGCCTAGAGGTTAAGGTGGTTGCCTCTCATTCAAAGGTCCAGGGTTCGAATCCGGGTAGCAATCGAAAAAAAACATTCTTCTTTAAAATGATCTCCTTTCACCTCCTTTTCTGCTCTCTTGCAATGTTCTGTCGTCTGCTTTCGTATCCTCTTCCTACCCCTCACCCCCTTTGCCACCTCCTCTGGGCTCCTGACTCTTTCTGCAGCCTTTCTACCGCTACTCCTTGGCTCTTTCTTACGGCTGTCTTTCAGCCATACCCCTGATTTTCTGATAGGAAAGATCTACACCTAGACTTCTCGGACAAGGGCGAAAAGTCTCGGAGGTCCCGTGTACAAGCTGCGCACGTTAAAGATCCCTTGGTGGTCTAAAATCGATAAGAGTAGGCTTCGGCCGCCACCAGGGCAAAATTCAAAATTTCCTACCCACTGAAAAAGTTTAATGTGTCCCTCGCGCTCATATATATGCGTGCGCCGTAAAACACTTCCCAGAAAAAAGAAAAAAAAACTACACATGTGTGTGTATAATAAATAAAGATGATGTGAAATGATTGATCAGTTCAGTTAGTTGTAGGTAACAAGAAAAGGGAAGTGATTTTGACAAAAGGAAAATAAAAGAACACACACACATAGTGACAGACAGACGCAGACACACACATACGCACCCCCCCCACCCCACACACACACACACTCTCTCTCTCTCTCTCTCTCTCTCTCTCTCTCTCTCTCTCTCTCACACACACACACACACACACAAACGCGTTGGCACCCCCACACATTGTACATGAGGGCGAAAATAAAAACATTTGGAACCTTAATTAGCCACACATACGCACTTTCCTCTTCTCCCTCTGTTTCCCTTTGAGTCGCTTTCAAAGTCTTCCCTTCGTCGTATGGTAATTGAAGTCTGCTTAAGCACCGGCAGCCGACCTCTTCGTGAAGCTAAATTCAGAACTCATGCATTTCGCAATAATAGAGGGGGGTATATTCTGCTCGGGAGTACGAGTACGAGGCCTTCTGCCC